GACAGTGATAAAGCAGAATTACCATCAGAACTGTTACACATATCCAACTCTGATTCATTTTTTTTTTCAAGCTATGAAATAAAATACTTGTATTTAAAATATAAAGACCGTATTTTCCGAAGATATTAATATCGGAAAAGCCAATCCAATCGACCGGTTCAGCAGCTTTTTAATTCACGGAATGAATAAGCGTGGGCTATCCCCACAGATCACCGAATAAATTATTGTCCCCATTAACGCTAATTATTGATTCCGGAATTTCCGGTCATAATTAGATTATTTTTACCTTCTTTCCAATACTAGGTCCAAGATTAATAAACACACAGCTAAAAATATCGTACCGTTCACACTTCATTATAAATTCTACATCTACCCCACCTACTTATTATTCTCCAGACGTTAATGACATTTGTTTGGTTCGAAGATTGCAGCTAATGAAACCAACAACGGAATTGTTATTTTTAGTCGATTGCGTAAAAGGTGTGTTAATTGTGCCTATTACCAATCCAGCTACACATTAATAAGAGCTCCCACGAAAAGGAATTTTTCATTCCAAATTAATGGCCACTGGCGATACAATCCTTGGAAAACGTTTCGTAAACCTGCGTAGAAACAAAAAATATTATTTGTTTAATGAACAATTAAACAATAAGTGAGTCATAAAAACGTGATCTTTTTAAAAATTCACTCGTGTATGTATTTACTAAAAATATACAAAACAGTCTCGGAAAAATTGCGCTAAATACGTTGCGGAGTAGGTGCCAATGGAATCATAAATATTTATGACAGTTATCAAGTACACTATAAATCGTTAAGTACTTATCCATACACTACGTATTGCGCCATTTGCACTGACTGACACTGATAGCAACCACAAGGTGAAAATACATTTACATTGACAAATTGTGCTGTGATGTCACAATCGTTCGGATTAATTTCGATAATCTTACTTCTGTTTTTTATCTAGAGCAAATAGTTTAGATTGTTCTATGATGAATTTGGTACTATGAGAGATAAAAGTGGAAATTCCTTTTTGTTCCTTATAATTTTACTTGTCTGTTATTTGTATTGTATTTTTGACTCACTTTATTTACGTAGGCAATCGCTTTCATTCTCCGAATGAAGTGCTACCTTGAACGTGGAAACTTTCAGAAACGAGAAAGGATAAGTTAAATGCATCAGTAGAACTGAAGAGTGAAATTCCCAATGGAAGGAATCACGGTGTTTGTTAATTGTAGTGTAATTTTCCAGTCTTAATAATGTTTCCCATTTTTTACGAAGTAGTGCGTGTCACACGAGTATTTTGTATATGGAAATGTAGACGAAAAAAAAAAGGTCAATTTTAGTGTTAAAACAGTGTGGATTTTCACAAAGATTTAGTTTTCGAACATTTGGTGTTTCATTATTTGTAGATCTGGTGTAATTTGGTATTTACTAGAATGGTTGCTTTTCAGACCCACAGTTTTTGTATCTTCGCCATTTTATTGTTACTAAAAAGTCTTTTTCAAGACTGCGAGATAATTTACGCGTTGAGAGAGATAATAAACTGACTGCAATTTATTAAAGTCGAACTGTCGTCAGCAAACAGTAATAAGCTAGACAGAAAATACGATGAACTGGGAATGTGGTTTGCTATCTCGTCGGCGTATAATTGCGGTTAATGCTCGAATATATAAGAAATAGATTTTGGATATGTTCATTAATCAGCTGCATGGTAAAAAATTATATTTCCAGCAGAATGGGGCTACAGCTCATACTGCCCTTAAAGCCAATAGCTCTCAAGTATATTTTGACGTCGAATTGTAAGCAGAACGACAAATATCCCTTCGCTTCCTCGGTCACCCGATTTAACCCCTCTAGATTATTCCATTTTTCAAAGACAACGTTTTCAAACAAAGGAGGGAACATTTAGATCAGTTAGTGTTACGAATCACAAATTGCTGTGCTAGTGTTGATCAAGAAATGTGTTTGGACCAAAATGGGGACCACTTTGAACATTGGTTGTAGTATGTGATAGTTACCAGTCCTTTTATTTGTTATTTTTAGTTTGTAATAAATGTAATAAATTGTTTGATGGAATAAGGAAGCGACAAATTCAAAAATGGAGTGAGATTTTCGAAAACCATCTTCCGACCCACTTGTCTTTCACGTGCACGGAATATCGGTTACATGAAACACGCGGCAATTATTGCACAAACATTTTTGTAAAGCAATTGTGTTTTTTACTCAAGGCGGGTTCATAAACTACAAGTATGGGAGTATATTACTGTATAAAATTTGTCGATTTTACTTATAGATAATCTCCGAAAATACTGGACCGATTGTTGTCCAATTTTATATAATAGCCAAAATATTCTAAAATCTGTCGTATTAATTTTTTTATAAAATTTGGCAATGTCTCATCATTTCATAATTTCTCAGAACATTTATAAATTTAAGCAGAAAGTGTATTTATAAAATTTGATCTTACGTTATCAGTATTTCCCCCACAACGAATCCAGCGTTTAAAAAAAAATAGATAACGTCAGTCACAATGTAAGAAAAAAATTAAGTGGTCGCGATAAACACTTGCTCAAACCAACTAAACTATTTTCAACCGTTTCACTACGATGCTTCTATATAAGTATAAAAGTTTGTTGTAGAATTTGATTTTTTTTTTTTTTTTTGCAAAACTCTGGATGCCTAGAATTAACATCAGCGAGGCTTCGTCACGGTGTGGGTGGGGATGGTTAGACAAATTTTAGTTAGCGTTTACCCTATAGACGACATTCCTAGAATACATAAAATTTGATAATAATCGATAAGGCAGTTTCAGAAAAATAACTTATCCTCGGGAAGTAACAATTAATCCAAAAATCAGAGTTGTAGAATATAGTATTAATTGTTATTCAACTAAAAATCTTGAGAAAATAAAAGTCTAAATTTCGAAAAACATAAGCTGGCGAATTCCAAAATTCGTACAAGTTTTGCTCGTTTGATCTTCCACTTTCAATGTAGATTTTCAGTTTTAACAATTTTGACATTTTCTAAAAGCTGTTATTTTAAAATTACAAAGGGATTTTGTAAATTTATAAGAACAATCACTACATTGAAAGCCCTCCTCTCTTTTCGCCCTTGCTGATCTGAAATGCGATGTCATGTGGAAACAGTTGCTAATAATAATAGAACATTTTTACATTTTTAAAACTTAAAAGGAATTTGTTATATTTCAAAAATCGTAGCAGTAGCGAATTATAATCACCTAACAATTTGCGTGATGATTAACGATATACGACGTACGATTACCAATTTTTTACATCCTGTGCGAGCATAATTATCGTAAGCAACAATTGCACCACCGATTTCCCACCATCATTAAATTTATTTCAACTTCAAACCATTGTGCAATCAAAACAAAAAACAAACCCAAAATCTCTAATTTCCTGCACTCATCGAGTTACTCAACTCGAATACAAAAATTTTCCACTGCCTGGAGTTATTCGCGACGATAAAAACCGCAAACTCGCGGAATTCGCCACAGTAAAATAAAAATTCCTCAAATATTATATTTCAAGTTCAGAGTATTAAAATACCTGCGGCGAATTTCGCTGTAAAAAATATTCTAATTCGATATTTATTTTCGTGCGCGTGATGGAGGATTTGCGAAATTATGTAAGACGACTTTGTAACTTTTTTTGTTTTGAACGTAATTTAGAACGTTGCTGCGACGTAGAAAAACGACGCTATGCTTCATGTCACGTAGTGTTCGCAAATTGTATAATAATAAATAATGCGCCACTGGAACCGGACAAACTAGAAGTGGAAAAATGCAAAGTCATAAGGCATTGCTATTTTCATCTTGAAATTAATGTAAAATAATCACGAACGGTCTTGAGCAGTGCGATGACCTTTCTAATGAAAACCCAAGAATTGTAAATATTAATGCCAATGGTAATTACATTTATTCTACTGTAATTGCTGAGCTTGTTACCTCGATTCTCAGAACTTTGTTGATGGGTTCTGCAGCTTTTTCAAAATTAGTCGGAAAGGAGTTTGCAGAAGAAACAGGTCAAACAAACACTCGACTAAATGAAGAGTAAATACAGAAAAATCGAGTTGATTATTTTACGTTTACGTTGCCATTACGACTGCATTTAAACAAGCTAAAACACCCGTGACCTTTTAGACATTTAAAATGGTATCGATTAAGGCAAATGTCTTAAAAAATTGAAATTTATGACACAGGCTTGGTGCAGTATTGTGTAATTAAGTTTCATTTTTATGGGAGTTGAAGTACGGTTGAAAATAATATTCGTCTGTGAATATCAGTTCTGCGGATTTCGTTTTGAAGTTTGATAAATTAATTATGCATTTGTCGCGGAAATTTATTGCATCCATTTATAAAATATCTTGGAATCAAAGTAAATCAAGGTTATTTTTATAGGCACGCCGCGTTTCAACTCATAAAAACTTCATACATAACCATGATAAATTGCGATTTTAAAAAATGGGAAAAGGGGTCAGTTTGATGAAGTTTTGAAATAAATGGAACGGCGGCGAGATAACAATAATATTATTATAAAACGAAAGTCAGATTGCGGGCGTTTCTAAATATATTTGTTGTGACAATATCTGCCACATCCAGTATCGAAGTAACAATATTTTAATCGTAGATTAATAGACATAGGTACATATATTATTTTCATAGAACAAGTCAGTAAAGTCAACAATTTAAATTTGTCGTGAACATGGCAAATCGCTCAGAATGTATAGTTAGTTGTCCCTTCCAAAAAATTGATGATGTCATCTCAAAATGTTGTTGAGCAACTCTAATTATAAATAATGTACAAAATATATACTTGCGGTTTAAATTTTTTCAGATGAATGAGTGTAAAGTTATTTAGACAGAACTTTCTTGGCCCTTGAAGCACATTCAAAGCAATAAGTCCTAAGCTTCGCATATGTTAAAATAAAAATTTCAAAAAAGTCCAAAATTAAATTTGTGGAATAATTTTTTCCAGGTACATCATCGACCACGACGACCCCTCCGTGGGAAAAACGCGCCTTGTCCACTGGGTGGTGCGCATAGTGTTCCTGCTGCTGCAACTCTCGCCGTTGCTGCGGTATATAGACACCTTGATTTATGGCATCCAGAGTAAAATCCTGGGTTCTTCGTTTCTGTACCGTCGCATGCTGGATGAAGACACCAACAGCGCGTTACTGCGACTGTACCATTGTTTCCTACATGCAGCCCCACAGGCGGTCATCCAGCTCATGATAATACTCATCCACGTGACCCATCCAGAAAAAGTACCTTTAAATATAGGTAAACGGAAAAACGACCAGCCAAAGTAGGAGCTAACGCGAACACGATGTTGCAGATGTAATTGTGATACAATCATGGACTGTGGTAGCCGCCTTGATGTCCATCGCCTGGTCGTTGACGTCTTATCACAGATCAGTTCGTTACGCCCGAGATGATAAAGATAAAATCAAATGGGGGGCGACTCTGGTGGCTTTTTGTTGGCACCTGATGAGTGCATGTGAGTACATATTAACATTAGTGTTCTGTAGTGGCGGGTCTGACTAAAGCGGTGTCAAATAATGAATTCTTATTTACTTTTATCCTGCACTTTCGTAGCTATTTATGTAAAGTTTAGTCAGGCCTGCAATTTTCTCACAGGAGTTCCCGGCGTGTTTATTTTCGCACTTCTCGATCGAACAGGTATGCGGATTTTTTAAACAAACGAAGGAGAAATCGCCGCTTCTAAAAATGGTTACGTGATGGATGTTTTTTTTTTGTTTTATAGAATGTACTGAAACGACCTTGCATTCGCATTAGGTGGAAAATATTCTCGGTTTTCTTCAAAGTGGCTTCTTTTATCTTTCGTTATTAAATTGAAGGTTATGGGAACTAATTCTTGCCCTAATTTTTGCAGTTATTTTTAGGTTTACTTGAATTTTAAGAGGTTGGGTTGTGGGCTAGTCAGTCATGTTAACGTTGATGAATACAAGATCAGTGCATCTGTTTATAATTGATTGTTTATTGAATGTTTCGGCTTCGATTGTGTCACGCCGCGCAATAACGTTACGTAAGGCGCTGGTCTTATATGTAATGTTAAGTGCCAAAAATAAGGTCTGCATAGTACACGCGTGACTTTTATGTAAATGCCGCGAATTGCAATCATTTGAATTTTAAATTTCGAAAAGTACCCTGCAGGTATGTACCATCAAGCAGGAACAAATTTTCGCATACGAATTAAAGTGGCTAAAAAGATCTACTTTTTCCAGATACCATTTATATTCACTGACTTGAAGGAAAAAACAGCACTTTCACTTCGTAACAAACACTATGATGTTCTGAGTCTTGGCTCTTTGGAATTTCTGATTTCGGTTTTCCCTCATTATATCTGCAAATCTCAAAAAATGATGTTGGTATGATACTGATCGTTCTCTCTTGGTTTTTAATATTTTATGATCGATGAATGCCTCTATCACGTGTAAGTTTTGATCTTTAATTTTTTAAAGCTGAGTTCATAAATGTTCTATGCGTTCTGGCCTTGTATTGTGTCACCAGTGTTCTATACGTGTAAATAAGTTTCTAGTTCAAACGTCAATCTAGAAGAAATTGTTATTCTCTGTTTACTGAATTGAGAAATTCTTCTATCCTGAACCCGTCTAAAACTAGTTTCGCCATTAAAACTAAATCTTTGGAACGATTCTGTTTGACTTCGAAGATATTACGATGTTTTATTTTCGTCTAAAGGATCTAGTAAAAGCAAGCTAAACGAAGAGGTCGCTTTAAGTACTTCTAATTTTTGCCTTCTAAAATCATCGTTTGCTGCCTCGTCCATAGAAGATTCTTTTCATTTCACAATACATTTTTTGCTCTTCTAGATCATTTTCTATACGACCAAAGTAGGATCAGATTATATTTCTCATATCTTTTGTTCTTCAAAAGATCTTCGAGGGTTAAAATCTCGATTTCCTCGTTCTGGTTATTCTGTTGGTTGTTTTCTTCTAAAATTGAACTCAGAACGTGGCGATCTTAATTCACTTGCATTAAATTTTGTAGCATTTAGAAACTAATGAATTTTTACAATAAATAGAAAACACAACTCCCCAAAATTCGAGCATATTATTTGATGAAATAAAACTTACAAGTGAAAATGTAGGACTAAAACAAAATTGTCGGTGTAAGTAGAGATTTACTCATATTCTAAATTTACACATTACGTCGTTAACATCTTCATTGTCTTCTAATTAGAAAAGAATTAGACAATCGTTGAACTTGTCATTATTCAGGTTAATGTAATATTGTGTGTGACTGTGTGATACTGTCACTATTGGCGGGCTAAATCGATCGGTTTTGTATAAATTGGAACGAAGTGTTTGAACACAGATAATCTCCGATTTTTAATATTTCTACTAGTGGAACATATATGAAAATTGCAGCGTTTTAATTCAAAAAAAAATTTTTTTTTTTAAATTAAAAGGCTTAATTTGGTAGGATGTATTTGCTTTACTCTCTCTCTCCTTTTGTGACAGAGACAAACTCGACAAATATGCCTGAAGTGGCAAAAGTTCACGAGTAATTCTAATTTGATTCTATTTCGATTATAAAATCTAGAATCTCGTGGACACTTGTACATTTTAGTGGAGCTCGTGTTTCTCATGAAACAAGGTATCCGTTTCTAGTGTTTATTTTCACACTTGTCGATCTATAACTCAGATAAGTAGATCAATTATTTAGTCAAAGTCGTTACGTGACGCATGTTTTTTTTTTACTATAAATACTGACTGCACCGGAACATTAGATCCTGGAGGTGGCTAAAATACTCTCGGGCTCTCTCAAAGTGATTTATTTTATCTCACTTAACGGGTACGCTTGAGTTATTAAATTGAAGGCTGTAGATTGTGGTAAGTTGCTCTTGCTCTGAATTTTACGGAGTTTATTTTTAGAATTCATTTGAAGTTTTGATGATTTTGTTTTAAATATTGATGTCGTTGATGAGCGCAGGAACTGAAGACGAAAGCTTTTTCCCCTTGGGATTAATTTCTTTGTTTTTCATGAATACGTAAATAAATGCATCAGCCTTGATGAGGTCGTTCTGCAGTGTCCAACATCGAGTTATGCAAGTCTTGTTTTTGCTGAAAGTTAAAAATACCAAAAATAAAGTTTGCATTATACATGCGAGTTTATGTAAATATTCCGACTAACGTTCATTGAATTTTAAATTGTGTGAGGTACCAATCAGGTGCGCGGGAAATGACTGTTGTCATTTACCTTCTGAAATATAGATGGCCTCCTAGTTAGAAACCAACATAATATTGTTTTTGTAATAACATAATAAATAAACAGCTTTGAATTACGTTCTACTTTGTTGCAATATTAAAAAAAAAATTATAAATTCGTTACGAAAATAAACTTTGTTGTGTGTTTTTTCCATATTTGTCATTTTGTTGATCACACAGGCGTAACAGCTATTTAAAGAAGTAAGAAGAAATCGTATGTAGCTAAAAATGGTTATGTGATGGATGATTTTTTGCCATAAAGAATGCAGTAATCCGACCTTGTGTGCACATTAGACGCTAAAAGCGGGCAAAGTAATGCTCTCCGGTTACATCAAAGTGATTTCTTTTATCTTGCTTAGCACGTACGCCTCAGTTATTAAATTGAGGGTTGCGGTAACTTAATTCTTGCTCTGATTTTTGTCGGGCTATTTTAAGGATTGATTTTAACTTTTTAATCATTGTATTGGAAATGGCGTTGGCGTTGATAATAAGCCGAGGGATTGAGATGAAAGTTTCCTGTTCTGGGATTTATTCGTCTGTTTGTAATGAATACGCAAATAAATGTGTCAACCTTGATGATGTCGTTCCACAACGTCTTACACGAAGTTACGTAAGTTTTATTCATCTGGCATAAATTAAAAGCGCCAGAAATAAGGTTTGTGTGAACAGTATGAGTTGTAACTATTTCGAATATCTTTCATTTGAATTTTAAATTTTGAGAGGTATTGTTATTTTAACTTTTGCTACGTTAATAGCTTCTTATTTACTAACTGAACAAGGTCGATTTTTGTTATGTAAAATTTGTTTTTTGCGTTTTGACAATATTGTCCCATGGTACTAATAGGTAACAACTGTTCCCAATTCTTTTTTTTTAATAGATTTCGAGATCGTCGTTTGTTGTATTTGCTTTTGCGATTTTTTTAACAATTTATACTTGATTTTCATCAAGAAAAAACGACAAATTATTCTCACTTTTTATTAAACATACATGCTGCTTGGATTAGAATAACAGTAATAATAAATAAAGTCAACAATTTAGTAATATATTCAACATCTTCTCTAATATTAATTCATCTAATTCAGGTCATCCGTCATTATCCTGAAAGCTGGAGAATCTACTACGTTTTTGGGATCGTTCTGGACGCTCTCCAAGGACCCTTTCTTGATTGTCGTTCCTTTCTGATCGTTCATGTTCATTTCTACCCAGTCTTTCACGTGGATTTTCTGGTCTTCTGTCCGCTGACAACCCTGTTCTTATACCCTCTCTGCTTCGTGATCCTTTATTACGTGGCAAATGTCCTATTCTATCTTCAACGGTTCCAAATCGCTGCTCATCTGTGGATATTTTTCCACGCCGTATGTCTTCCTCCTTTCTTGAAGTATCGTGCTTTCGGGAAAAACGTCTTCCGTCAAGTCCAAATCGTTGTGTTTGTTCTTCAGGAATAAATTTTCGTGCCGTGTCTTCTCTGGATTTTCGAGGACTATCTTCACTTCGACCAAGCCTCTGAGATGATCCTTCTTGTCTTTTTCGATCTTCCTTATTTGCTTTCTCTTCCGTGGGAGATCTTCGTCCGGTTTGCGATACATTTTCCTGTCGCTCAGAGGGTTGTCTAGAATTCGGACCAGAACGTGGTGACCGTTTTGCTTCCATTTCTGGGCTTCGTGGTGTTCTTTTCTCGTTTGTTGGGAAATCTATTTTGTCATGGGAATTTTGGAACGATGTTTGTTCTCTAGGCCTGTGAGGAAGTCGTATGTTTGAGTCAAATCTTGAGTCAGTGGGTCTTCTAGAATCTTGATTATTTTCTCTCTCTTCCGCAAAAGACGATATATTTTCCTCTTTTCCAAGAGGTCCCCTAGAATTGGAACCACCACAAGCACCTTGTTCTTTGAGTTTTGGGAATGTTTCTTCTTTTTCTGTTCTAATTCTATTGTTTGCTGTTTCTTCCATGAAGGCTCGCTCATGATTTTGCAATTCCATTTCTTCTCTTCTAAAGGATGCAGAATCAGGACCAAAATGAGTAAATCTTTCTCCTTTTATATCGTCTTCTCTTTCTTTGCCATTGCCTCGTCTAACGTTTTCAGCTGATTTTCTAGTTCTTCCATCAAATTCTTGGTGGCTTTTTGATCTGTCTTGAGGTCCCGACCGTGAACGTTCTGTAGAAAGACGATATCTTGACTCTTGATTTTCTGGTGTTTGAGGTCTTTGTTGGTCCGAGTATGAACCCAGGGTAACCGGTTTAATTGATTTTGGTCTACATCCGAAACGGGCAGCGTCATCACAAATATCAAATTCAGAAACATGTTTCGGTAAGTCTGGACAGTCTAGACTCGTTGTAGATCCATCAGAATAGGAACACGATATTTCTGAAATTAAAAAATAAAATTAGAAACTAGAACTAAGACAAATGTGTTAGTGTAAGTAGAATTTAACTTACTTTCAGAGTTTGCCCCTAACAGAAATGCTAGGCAAAGAGATATCTTCAGAATCTTCATTTTCTTCAAATATGATTGGTTCTCGATTGATAATATCAGTGAATCTTTATGATTACTATGATACTGTTATATTGTGGAACCAAATCGACCACTTTTATATAAATCGAAGTGAAGTGTTTAAAGCTAGATACTAATCTCAGCTTTGTTTATAACGAATGGAATCAGATTTCGTGGCTTTTATTTGAAACATGTCGTGGCCTTTTCTATTTCTAAAATCTCAGGTGATGCAACGTTTTAAAAATGTTCCCATTAATTGTGTAATATTTTGAAAATGTTTGAAATTTGAGCTTTGTATTCAATATTCCAATTTCAATATTTTTTTTTTCGGTGCGCTGAACCATTTTAATTGAAACACCCTACTTTCCAGAGCTAATCCTGTTCTTGTTCTGTCACCACAGAATCACAAAAATTCAATTATCACTAACCAGCGGGTTAATCAAGTTATTTCAATTACCCCGATTCAACTCCGCACTGAAACGAGTAATTCCACTTAATGGAAATAACGTCCACAGAAAGCGCGCCTTGATGACCTGAAAATTTTCAAATCACAATTCTAATTTTTCTTTTTCAGTGTCCCGAGTATTAGCCCTCAGCTTATTAGCCGCGATATTCCCAGCATGGATGGGTTGCGTCTGCGTCGTCCATTGGATAGTCATGTCAATATGGCTAACCCTGAGTCAACACCACCCGTCTGCTTGCAGTAGCCGTTGCGAAGAACTGTTTCTATCAATAAGCTTAGGCCTAGCGTACGTCCTGGCCTTCATATCGCCGAGGGATGGCCCCACTCGATACATATATTTGGCCTATTATCTAGTGTGCTTTATGGAAAACACAGCAGCTTTAGTCGTGTGGTAAGTTTTATGATGCAGAGACACAGCTAGTTGTGCGCGAATCTGCTGCACCTTAAGTATAGTAGTCAAAAAGATGTCACTAACCAATTCGTCGGTCTAATTCGAACTTTTGTTACAGGTGTGTTACGAACAATTCGGCCGAGAACCCTTTCCTCTACTACGGAGCGGCGGGGGCGCAGCTCGTGGCCTTCCTCCTCGGCATCGCGTTCCTCCTGATCTACTACCAGTACTGCCACCCGTCGCGGACCTATCGCAGTAAAATCCCCGACGCGTCAGATCCGGGGATGCTCGACATCGACAAGCCGGGTTACAGTAAATCGTACGACGTCAGGTCGCACTCCTGATCCGTGACGTTCGTGTAAGGGCTGCCTTACACGCGGACTTTCGTTTTTGTACCTACAGTGTGCGGTTTGACTTGCACAAGTTACTAACAGAGTTGCTCTCACTATTATTTTTCTAGCTCAGTATTGAAAAATGTGATATTCGCTAGAGGGTTGTACGTAATGTTGCGAAGCAGTATTGCGAAGAAATTATCGTTTCCAAGTATTACAATGGCACGTGCTGCAGAATTTGCCTTGAAACTGCCGACTGTGCCAAGAGAAATTTCAACTGTAATAATCGGTGTCTAATATTGCCTTAAATGTACATAAGATTTATTACTGTTGACGCTTCAAATTTTATTGTTGTTTGACGAGAGGTTTAAAGTTGTTTTCCTTCAAATCTGTTGGGTCTTGCCGTCTTCGCACGTGTACTTATGATTTGGTTGAAAATGCGGGGGGCGGAGTTTGCGTACACTTGCTGATCGCGTTAGATGCCGTTTTTACACTAGCAAAGGGCAAGTTTTGTTGTCATGAGTGATATTCGAAGCTCTGCGATATATGTGTGAAAAAATATCTATATGCCTAAGATGTTATTTTGAGGGAACAATTTCAAATTATGATATATTTTGTATTATATTTGCAAATATTGTAATATAGATGACTGTAAAGTATTTATAAGTGTTGTTTTTTTTTTTCTAATAAAAGTTCAAAATCGTTTGGCTTATTTTATTAAAAAACGTACAACGTATTCATTCACTCTCCGTGTTTCCGTTGCTTTGTGTCAAGAAGACCTGCTGCGGGGCCGAGCTCTGTTGCGGCACCTAGAACGAGAAAAGGATTCATTAAATCTTCCACTATATCAACAGGACATAAGAATGTAATTTTTTTATTTATGTTGGGGTTAGGACAAACAGATTTCAGGTAACTAAATCTTTTAACGGCCGGCGTTTTTTTTCGTCGAATTTTGAGTCACATCGCGAATTGATCGAATCTCGTTGTGACGTCAGACATACATGGATCTTCAGGAATATGTAGTTCAAAAAACCACAAATACTAGAAAGCTCTGATTTTGTTCAAATTCACCTCAAATTTTGGTGTGCTACTCTTCTTAGACTGAACACTGTAACCCTTAAAACGTCAAAAATTATACTAAAAGAAGTAATAAAATTTGAAACACCCCAGACGCTCTAAACTGCGTCGAATATTTTTTAAAACCTATACGTAATAAAAATTTGAACACTATAATAATCTTTGCAATTATAAGAAAAAGTTACACTTCTCACAAAATATATACAAAAATATAAATAATTTCAGTAAAAGTTTACAATCGAAAATCATCAGAATTTGCAGAATGTTCCACAGAAATCTGAAATTGAACTACAATTACAATAATTTAAAGAGAGTAATAAATAAGACCAATTATCTGAATATGAGAATAAAATCAATATACAGCGTGTTATTGAAAGGTACGTACAAAATAAAATCGGGAATTGATCTCGAAGTATGGATGCTAAAAGTTAAAAAAGTTCAGGTAAAAGTGTTCTCCTTTTAGAGATAAAAATTATTAAAATTTATGTCCAAATTCATTGTACGCCTCTGATAAAAAGATCATCATTTAGTCTTGACAAAAGTTTTATTGTTACCGTTGCTAGGGTTTACTAAAATAATAGATAATATCTGGTTAACCGAGCTTCACTCGGCTCGTTTGGTAGTATTCGATCAGATTAGGACAGATAAATATGCGTATAGTATGCATTTTGAAGTACACGCGCTACTTAAAAATACACATTAAAAAAGAAATTCCATAAGCAGTCTTTGCTTTAAATACTGATGAGTGACATGTAGAGATTAAAGAATAGAAAACTGGAATTATTGTTTGACAATTATTAAAATCTCATTTGTTAGAGCAGCTTTCAACACAAAAAGGTACAGGGGCGTGGCTTAAAATGCGCGACTTGTAGTCGGGCTAGCAGTGGCGCAACATCGATGTATTGAGAAGGGAGTTTCGGCTGAGTTACATTTCTTTCAAAAACAATTAAAAATAGAGCAATTTCCACAAAAGAATACAGACAACCATTTAATAAAAATAAATTTATTTGTTTGGTAAAAAAATAGACTTACGTAACAATAAATTATGATAATCTATCACACAAAATTTGGTATTTTTAATTATTAAACGAGTTTATAATGTGAGGGATTATAGCATGAGTAAAAAATTTCACGAATCCCTCATTATAAACCAGTATCATATACTATTTTATAGTCGACTAGTCTTAAAGCAACAGTTAAATCTTTAGATAAAAGCGGGCTTAAAACTCTGAGAATAAGCAACCTATGACTATAATTATATGGTTTTTAATTTTCTGGCACAATTTATCGATACCGTAAAGTCGGATTATAATAAGGCGTAACGTTTTCTGTCTTTAACATTGAAGTATCGACTGTACCGTAATTTAACAGTAATTATTGCTCACTAAAAATTACCTTTTTACTTCTTTTACTTACTTTTTTATTCAACTCATACATCAAATACAGCACTAATAACACTGGTCAACAAAATTCAATTTTTTCTCTGTAACTTTGACATAATTGTAATGTTTCCGTTTAATTTGTCTCTGTGTTTGTAACAAAGGGCATAAACCTTACAACTTAGCTCAATTAAAAATAAAAATGCATATTTGATGTTAAAAACAAAAAAGCAGGTAAAACAATTTAATTTTTGTATATTTAACGGCAAAAAGTGATGTATTAACAAAAGAACAACCATAATTAAGAAAAAAACAACGATTGTAGTTTAAAAAACGAAAAAAACAAAAGAAACAGCTAAGATCGACGTTTTTTCGGTTGCCTCCTATAGATTTCATTGGAGATCTCTCGCTTGATGGTCCCGCAGTATTCTGCGAGCATTTAGGTGTTCCATCGATCTTGGTAACGTTTTTGTATCCACAAAATGCCCAGATGGAAGCGTTCTCTACGTCCGTCACTCACGTCGTCATAATTTTTGGGGAAAAAATCAAGATGCGAATACATAAAATGCACTTTTAAGAATATGTTAATTTTAAATTTTTTATATGATGATAATATGTTTTCTACTTACTAAACGTAGTTTTCTTATTGTTTCCCAAGAAGTTTGTAGCAATTTGATCACAAAAAAATACACCTTATAGAAAGTTTCCTATTACTTAATAGTACGATTTTTGTATTTTTCAAAGGATAATATTGAAGATTACTTTTAAATGAGAGCTAAGTTTGGATTTAGCCGTTTATAATATCATTTAAAATTGTGAATTAAATAATAATTGGCTGTTATAATAAAAGTTAGAGTTTAGCTGTTGACCAGTGTAATTGTTTAAATTCTTTTTCTATAATGTCAACGCTAATAAAATAGAAAAGTGATATTTTTATTAACCGCAATAATATTTTAATATTTCAAAATCGAAATATTCATCGCCGCTGCCACTGCTTGCACGATATTTGTAAGGCCAAACCAAAACAATGTTCTGCGCACTCCCACCACCTGTACCCTTTTGTGTTGAAAGCTGCTCTACCTAAGTTCTCTCTATGTCGTTTTTTTCTTTCTCCTAGTTCTCTCTATCGACTCTAGAAAAATGTCACAACCACATTCTTACTGCCAGAAGAGTTTCGCCTCTGGTGTGGTTAACATACTGAGTTACCGTGCTCTTTTGCGTTATTCCTAATTTCTCAATCTCAGCCCTGCTCCCGAAGATGCCATTTACGAAAGTGTGCGAAACGTTGAGCCCAAAAACTCAAATAACACGGTCCCATCCCGGAAAATGATCACATTTTGACTCCGACCGTGGAACCTCTGAAATGAATGCTTGACAATAACCTCAATTCAACGCTCTTTCGTGTGCCTTTTATCCGCTCACTGTTTAGTTTTCCGTAAATTTTCTCACCTCAGAAGGTGAATTTTCACGTCCTCTATACAGTGGAGTATGTTTCGGTACGTACAATTGAAGATAAAAAGGTACGTCAAACGTACTGTCAAACTGTCACCCAAACTTCTCTTATAAAACAGTCTCGTGTTCGTGTAGTGTCATCTGATGTTGCCTAGCAACAAAAATAATTCACTGCCTGAAAATTGCTGAAAATGTATGAAGCTGTAATTTTAAGAAGTTAAAACTATGATGAATCGATTTTTTGACCCAAAAAACCCCTAACCTGTAAATTTCATCGAAATCGTTAGAGCCGTTTTCGAGAAACCCATTATATATATATATAAATATATACAAACTTTGCTCGTTTAATAGTATTAGATTAGATAGATTTATTTTATTAGGAGTTTAAGTGATACTTTATGTGTCGAGTATGGACGATTAAACGCCGAGCGATAGCGAGGCGAATTAAGTCCATACGAGTCACATGAAGTCACTTAAACTCCGAATGAAATACAATATTTTATTTTCAAACGATTATCTTCTTTTGAAATGATTATTTCCTATCTTTTTGCTTCATTAAGGAATTGCCTTGATTTCAGTTACCATGGTTACTATGGTTGACAACCACTATGATTTTTACATATTTATACTCCGGTGGAGTATAAATGTGTTATTTATACGCCGGCGGAGTATAAATAGTACTTATGCGCCGCTCAAACACGGTGTCATAGAAATGACACTTAAACCCCGGTAAGAACGTCATATAAGTGTCAGTTATATGACGTTTGAAAATAAATTAATTTTACCTATTTATCCTTCAGTAGCGTCTAAAAAGGTTGGATAAGGGTTAATTTTCCCCTTATAATTTTGATAACACAAAATAAGTGTTTCAGACTTCTTAGACTTCGCGAAGAACTGTCCATTTTGTTGTACGTACCTTTCAATAACACCCTGTATGTATGTGCCGATTTAGTTTCTCAGGGAATAAATTGAGGTAATGCAAAATTCACACGTAAAATGAAAATATCTTCATGAAAAAAATATTACAAGATCATAAATATCAAAAGGGGGTCGTCGCAAAAAAGGGCACGCCGAAAAAAATTAAAACATCGACAAAAAGCACTATGGAAAAGAGCCATCGCAGAAAAATAGAACCACTGAAGAACAGGGCCAACGGAAGGGATTGTGCAAATTACACAAGTACAGACAATGTCAAATATATTTAAATCAGATAACCAACTGGAAAAAATGGCCTCCCAGCATTAATAACAAGCTTTAACTTCAAGGTGTTTACATCGGAAGAATGTCACGTAGAAATTTGCTTGATTTGAATGAGTTTGTCTCCTCAAAACAGAGCTAAAATTATTAATTAAACCACAGTCGAATAGAATACTCTGAATATTATTATTATCATTCTTAAGGGCGTGCGTATTCTCACCTTTTCGATAAAATAGGATGACTCGTTCTTAATTTGACCAATAAAAAAGTTGTTATAACCTCATAAACATTGATAACACGCAATGTGAGAGAAAAAGAGAAAAAACAAGCGTCAGTCCGACGCCTGAAGCGTATGGCCAATAACGGTTATAACTTAAGTTACTGGTGAAATGTCAGTATACTATGTTAATTGTTTTGTGAACATTTGGCCGTTGAGGGAAGAAAGTCCAAACGAATTCGTACACCACAAGTATAGGAGTATGCTAATGAATAACATTTAAATAATGTTAAAATAAAATTATTTGAAATGACGTCATCAACTTATTGGTTGGGATGACTAACCAAACTTTGATTAGCGTTTTACCATCTATAACATGATATTCCTAATACACATACAAAATTTGACATCAATCGGTCCAGTAGTTTCGGACATTACATATCTAATAAAAATCGACACATACGCCAGACAGACGGAAACGCGAGATTACTTTTTTCGTACTTGATGTCATGAAAAGTCGAGAAAATATAAAAGTGGCCATTCGTCCGATGGACTCGATTACTATACTTTCTTAGCTTATGTTCGGGAAGTAAAAACAAAAACCCATGATTCAACCGTTGTGCCAGACAGAGAATCGTCGTCGTACAATTTGCTTTGGTTAGAGAATCAAGGCGGATTCATAAACCACAAATATAGGAGTACAGAGTCATCAAAATTGATTGAGAGAGTTGGTAAACCTGAACTAGAATAATTTGGTTTATTAAGTTGTATACAAATATTAGCTGTCAGATTTGAAGTTTCAAATTTCAAAACTCAGTGGCGTCTCTTTTTTTTTGTAAAAAATATTAGTTGTCAGATTTGAAGTTTCGAATTTTAGATTCGTTCATTTTTGGAATTTGTTCGCAAAGATGCGAGGAGCAATAAGGTCGCATCGAACAAAGCGATTCGTACAAACTTCAAAACCGTTCGCAACTTTGCAAGAAGGTAACTTTCGTATTCACAACTGATTCAGGGAGTTCGACAATCAACCCCCAGTTCTCTTGTCACGCCACTGAATTCATTACCATATAACCTTAAACAAATCTGTCATAAGGTTGACAAACTTCACGGCAAAAACAGGGAGTACCAATTCTCTCAATCAATTTTGATGACTCTGTATATTACAAAATTTAACGGCGTTTACTAAAAAAATCTCAAGGGCCATGATCAAATTGTTGATCAGGATGATAGCCGAATTTTGGTTAGCGTTTTACCCTCTCCGCGATTTTACAACATAAATATAAAATTTTACAATAATCGGTCCGGTAGATTCGAAAATTACCTGTGTAATAAAAATCGACACAGATGGCAGACAACAGTTAGACAGACTTACTTTTTCATACTCTAAGAGATCATGAAATGTCGACAAAACATGAAAATAGGCAGTCGCCCGATGGACCCTATTACAATACTTTCTTAGCTTACACTTGGCAAGTGGAAAGATAAGTAGAAAAAAAATAGAACCATCGAAAAAATGAGCAAAGAAAAAAAGCCGAGCCATCGAACAATAAAAAGAGAATTTAATCCAAATCTGAAGTTGTGAGGTGTCTTATTATTTGCGACATTGATATGTAGTAAAAACTCAATTAGATTATAAGTTGAATAGTGTAAAATGGTAAAATTTGACATTTAAAGTAGAAAATCAATTATAACGTTTAAATAAAATTTTGAGCTATTATGAACAAAATTTAAGTGTTAGGAATTATTTGGATTTCAATCTTCTTATATTTCAAAAATTCCGCAAAAAACAGGGTGTCGAGGTCACAAAAATTTGAAACATGTATGCCAATTAATAAAAGCCACCAACCATAGAAATGTGAAAACGTGTTTGAAAATTATACATACAAATCCGTGATACAAATATTACCGAGAGCGCAGTAAAAAAACACGATCAAATACACTTATGGAATTTTGAAGATTTCTCTTTACCAAAATTTTACATATGTATTCTTGTCAGATTTCCGTCAGTTTAAAAGTTTGAGTTGAATACATGGTTGTTTTTGATCCTGTTTTTTATTGCTCTCTTGGTATATCGAAAATTGAAAATAAATAATTTTTTCGCTTAAAAAATTATAATCAAAGCACAATAAAAGTTTTAAAAGCCGTATCAAGCAGTTAGCAGTTAATAATTTCACATATCTGCCTTTACACATATGAGTACTGGGGTGACCGGGTTAATTAATGATTAATGCAATTTTTTTGGTTGTCAGTTCTGAATTAATGGCACCAATGTCAGTTGTGCGTGCCTAAAAAACAACTAATAAGATTGCAGCTCTGCTGACTGGGTGCCCAAAATTTCAATTTGAGATCCGGTGTGCACCATAAAATTTTAAAATGTTACCAACCTCACAAAAAAAAAACCCAAACATTGCCATTTCTATTGAAACAACAAACATGTAAATTTTATAACGTTCATAATTAGACAATTTTATGACTAAATCCGTTCTCAAGCAAGCGAAAGTTGCTATAAATTGCTAAATTTGATGCAAAATCAAGAAGTGGTATTTCAATAGAACATGTATGTGTAGAAAACACTGCAATATAAACAAATTTTTTAACAATATTGTGACTAATAAATTATTCAATATTCAATGACAATAATTAGAATGTATTATTTTTTTTTGTAACACTATTGATAGATGGTATATTGCCAACCAATAAAAAACGAGATACTCATTGTCGCCACTTTTTAAAATTATAGGTGAAAACAAACAACGTAATTTAGAGCTTTATCTTTAACACGAAATTCTTTTTTGTGACACTTCTTTGTGTAGTTAGTCCCACGGGTTGTTGTAGTTTTCTTTGTTTTTCCATTGTTATTTCTTATTTTTTTGTACCTTATACTAATTAATAAAAATAAAATTTTTTAAAATACCTGTATCAAATGCGGCGCCGTCTGAATAATCACCGGCTGTGAAGTGTTCCCTTGCAACTGCATCTTAATCATCTGCAACTGCTGCGGCGTCAAATTGATCTAAAACCAAACACCACATAAACCAACAACACAACCACCTTTCCAACCAACCGGAATCTGCTGTATCTCCCCATTCGGCGTAACAATCTGCTGCACGATTTGCACATTCCCTGGCTGATTCTGGGCTATCGCCTGTCCCGTTTGTATCAGCACCGGCGTCTGCGCCGCCGACGTATTCGGGGGCGACGAACTAGCCGCATTCTGGTCTATCGTGTTCACCTGTACCGTTTGCACCTGCTGCGGCTGCACAATCTGAATCGCCCCCTGTGTCTGTGCCACGGTGGTCGGCGACGTCGCCGCCGCCGTGGCCGTGTTCTGCTGCAAGTTCGCGTGGTGTTGCTGCGCCAGCTGGAAATAGTACACCTGATCAGAGCTCGACGTCCTGTTCGCTTCATCTCTAGGTTTAGTTGGCTTCATGTCGTCTCGAGGCACTATGTCAATCAGAAAATCGAACTGGTCGTATTTGGAGATAGCCATGGCGATGTCGTTGCGCTGGAGCGTCCGGCGCTTGTTGTCCTCGGTGTGTATCCACGCTCGCAACGTCAGTTCCTGAATGAAGATTTCAGCGGCTTTGGCGAAAAGTAAGGGAGCTTCGGCGGAAATCATTTTCACGTCTTCATCGAGTTTCATGATTTTTTTTATTCGGGCGAGGGGAAGGACTTGCTGTTTGAGGTCCATCTAAAAACGAGTTGTTAGATCGTGGGGTTTGTGGGGAGTTTAGTTACGTTTCGGATTGCCCGGATGTCTTCAAGGGCTTTGGGCCAGAATTGGTTTAAGACGTTCTGCGCTTCGCTTTGCGTTTGGACTTGGTCTTCTACACATTGTGCTTCTGTTTTGTCTTCGGTGGTCTCTGAACTGAGGGACAAGAGTGAGAAATGATAGGGAATCAAGGGGGTTTACTTACGAATTTATGTAATATACGGACATTTTAGTTGATTTTTGAGTGGTCTTTGAGTTGTATTTAAAGCTAAATCAACCGCCTCAAATAACCAATCACTATTTACATGTCTTGTCCAATCCAATGTCCTTTGACTATTAAAACAATATGGCGGACCATTGTCATTGTTGTAATTTGAAACGTACAGAGGGCGCCACTAAGCTTCAAAATTAAAAGGAACATTTTGAAATGTAAAATTTTAAACGAAGCTCTTTATTACAAAACAAGAATACTCTTAAAAATACACTATTAACACGCAATCATAATTATACTGTTTGTCGTAATTTTCTATTACGCTTTAGTTTTTTTGTGGCTCCCATCAGTCTCGTTTATTTCCAATTTTCTTTTGGCCCTTTCTGCATTTTCATCATCTTCATCACTCTCATCACATTCTTCTTCTTTTTCTTCGTCTACATTTACGTATTCTAAAAAAGCATTTGTTAAATTTGGAATTGAAATGAACATAACCTCAACCTCCTGCATTCTTCTCTTCTTCTACAAGTTCGGTTAGGTACGTGTTAACATTTTTCTGTACATTTTTCAACGATTTTATGTACTCTGTCCAATTTTTGGTATTTAAGTGAATTTTTTCGTTTATATTTTTTAAAATGTTATCATTTTTGGACACTTTGATGTTTATGGCGCTGTGAGTTGTCATTTTTGCAACAATTGGGTTGGATCCGGTCACAAACGAGATAGGTCAGCATACATTAGCTTGTGATTCATAACGATGTTGAAAAATCAGTCACTGTTCCACGCTTAGATACTGGGGACAGGCAGCGCCTCTATAGTATAGGATAGGTTACGGCGAAAATTCCTTCTCTAAAAAAAATAAGTTCTTTATTTACTACATCCCAGGGTACCATGATAGAGAGTATTTATCCAGAAAAATTTTGAAATGACATCATCAAGTTTTTGACTAACGATTTACCATCCTTATGTACAACAACCGTTTAATCAGTTAAATTGTTTTATATACAATTTTGATTTTTTTTCCCAAAAATCTAGACATCTATATGGTAAAAAACCGCAAGGCAGATTAACCACAAGTACAGAAGCATGTTATTTTATAAAATTTAAGTAGAAATTACTCTGAAAAATTTTGAAACGATATCATCGAATTGTTAATGGGCACAATATGTCTAGTAAAAGCAACAGCAGAGAGACAGACGGCAACGAACACCAATTTTTTCATTCTTTATGAGTCATGAACAAACACAGAATACTATTTTAAAATCAGGTTTGTCAAAAAATACAATAAAAGCAGCAAAATTAAAATATATTGGAACATTTAACAAAATAAACAAAAAAGTAAAAATGTAAAACAAAACGTACTTGCATAGAACGAAATAAAAGTAAGTAATAAACATACAAAAGTTACCAATTATAATACGAAAAATCGTCCACTAAAAATTCAACATTCAAAAAACAGCACATCCTGCAAAACATCACGTTTACAATAACAACTGGCAATATACAGCTACTTACGATTAAAAAGCAAGCTCCTAGAACCGCAGCTTTCATTTTCACATCCAAATTTTGGGGAAAAGTAATCTTGAAATTGTTCGCGTCAGAGGTACACTCCCTACAAAAACCCAACCACTGCCTAGTAATAGCTCCCACTTCCACCAAGCCAACATGTGAGGTGATCTTAAAACGAACAGGGCCACACCGCATTCGACAACCAGGACCTTCTACCCTCAAAATAATCTGTCCACTGGAGTCCTTGATAGTAAATTTTGGATAAAGGAAAGTAGATTCTTGCTGTACTACAGCCAGCAATGTTCCTGAAGGAGATAGAACTTCCAGTTTCTAAAACAGGAAATTAGTGGATGGTCTCCAAGCGGGAAACGAAGTTACTTGTGAGCAAAAGAAAAAGCAGCAGCAATCGCAAGCACACACTCGATGGAAATGAAGAATTTCGTTTCCAAAATTGTCCGAAAGTTTCATGACGAAGGGATGCGTCGTGTAACAACAAATTCTTGACAGGTAGGTTGAGTCTTCACTCGCGAAGAAAATTATTTGATTAAAGGTATTTTTGATTTGGAATCGGTTTGTAGATTGGAAATCTTTGCAACCTGTGATTTTTTTGTTTAGTTGGTTTAGTTTTCAGGTGATCAAGCTTTGTATTACCTTCTATTAAAACTTGTTGTTGGACTAGTAGCTGGTCGATAGTGGTGAGGTAGTCTAAACCAGTGGGATAGTTGAAAGCTCTTACTGGTAATGGTATAGTTGTCCAACCTGATAACATTATAATTATAAATAATTTATCTATTTATTCCTTTCAGAAATTTGATGTTTATTACAAAATGTTTGTTTCTATTTAACTGATATATTTTGTAATTTCTTGTAATTATTTACAGAGTAGCTACGCAAAAAAAATTAATATAATAGTTTTCAAAATGTCGTCTGTGAAAAAAAATACTCCTTACATGGATCGGGTATTCATTATGCTTCAGAAGACAAGGAGACTACAGGAACCTACTTGAGACCATTTTATAAAATTCTAGTTCTCATATTCCCCACCATTTGAATATCACAATGACGTTAACAGGCAGATCTCGCGCCACTTAAAACTAGTATAATTTAAAAACCACAAATAAGTATTAGAAAATTATGGTTCACACATTGTTAACGGCAGATCATTTGCTACTAACAAATCAAAATTCAGTTTCCATTATCTATGTAAATACTTAATGTTAGTAAAATTCATAGCAGCTTTTTTATCATCACCATCATTTTGATTCTTACTTCACTTCATCCATATTTACATCAAATACAATTAGCTTACCTTGGTAAACACTGGGACTAACAAAACTGTTAGGCTGACTCTGAATAATGGGTCCAGGTGGGCCACTAGGATAACCCTGAAGTGGTACCATTCTTATTTGATCACCAGTTTGATCTCCATCTGTTTATAAGACAACTACTTAACGTCCATGCCAAATGAACTCGTTTTTTCTTACTCTTTGTTTCTTCCGGTTCTGCACTTTTACTGGCCATTTTGTTTTGGTATTCGAATAATAGCCACTGCCACTAAATACAATCTGAATCTCACCTTTGCCAACCCCAAGTTGTTCAAAGCTGAAGAGAAATTGGCAATACACGTTGGATTTGATTTAAATTATTTATGTTTCGTTACACTAAAAATGCTACCAACGCTGCATCTGCGTTGTTTCACAAATTTGGGTAAAGTACCACGTGACTGTGTATCAGTGCTACCAAATAAATATCTGGAAAGGGTGGTTGTGGAGTTAAAATGGTTGCATAATCTGTATAATTTTGAACGATCTACTATGGTGTATGTGATATTTTTAATTTAAAATAGCTGTCGTTTTTTACCACTACAACCCAAATGGATTTTTTCTCTTGGATAAGTTTGTCACTAAGTAACCCTTTTTCCAAAATGTTTTGACTGTAATATGGAGATATGCCTAAAATTGTTGTTCTTAAAAAAGTGTATTGAATCATATTATAAAGATATTTTAAAAAATGTTGTCAAATTTATTTATTTTCAAAAATGTTCGTGCAATTGCACCATTAATTGTAAACGTTTTCGCAAATGTTGCATCATTATTCTTTACAAATAATAATAAAAATCAGAAAAGCCACGACGACAGATCTAAAACAAAAACCACGAAATCGCATTTTATTCGCTATACCTAATATATCGAATATCTTTATCTGCACTTGAAATTTTGACTTCGATTGATATAAAAGTGATTGATTTGCTCATAGGCTCATAATACAACAGTATCATAACAATTCAGATTTGTTATTAATACAGATAATAATCGATATTGGTGCGCGGCAAAATTTGAAGACAATAATGAAGATTCTGAAGGTCTATTTTCTTTGCCTATCGTTTTTGTTTGGCGTAAATTCTGAAGGTAAGTAATTTATTTTGTATTATTTATGTTGTAAGTTTATAATGTAATTTTCGTTTTTTGTTTCAGAAATAATGTGCTCTAATTCTGATGGGTCTACATTTATTATAGATTGTCCAGAATTGTCACAGCATGTTTCTGAATTTAATATTTGTGATTGGGCTGCGCACTTTGGATGTAGAACAACACAAAATGAACATAGCAAAACGCCAAAGTATCCGTGGTCAGAGCAGGACAAAGAAAGATCTGAAAAAGTAGAAGACCTGGAGTCCAAACAAAGACAACAAAATAACGAAGATTTTCATGGAAAATTCAGAAAAGATGACAATTTTAGGACAGTAGGTAGAAGAGATGACAATAATGAACGACTTTCTGTAAAGTTCCATCTAAGCGAACTAATATATCCAAGTTCGATGTTCAATATTAGAGGAAGAGATGTGGAAGATCGGCGACAAAAAGAACACAGAAATCCGAATTCAGAAATCTTTTGGGAGAACATTGCCAAGTGAAAATTTAGAAAACGTAGAAAAATTTGCTAGCCCTGACTCTGATCCTAGATTTCACAGGACAACGGCGGATCAATCGCAAAACCCGAAAGTAGAAACCAGAACTGTACCAGAATTTGTTTTAAAAGAAAAATCACAAAAAATTGAGAATAGGCGAGGTTTTCCTCAGTGGGCCGAATTTTCGACACAATTGAGAAGAATACCAGAAATTGAAAATATGAAGAATGGAGAAAGGTCTCTCGACTTTGATTCAGATTCTAGGGGTATGTCTAGAAGAACAGAAAATCTATCGCAAACTCCAAGAAGATCCTCCATGGAAGAGAATGCGAATAAAGAAGGTTCTAGAACAGGAAAAGAAAAATCGAGTTTAAGTCTGGTGTAAATGAAGATACTCCTCAGACATCCAAAGAAAATCCGACTGAACCAAAATTTACTTTCGAAGAAAGGCCACAAAAGCGGTGGCAATTTTCAAAAGAAGCTAAACGTTTTAAAAATTCTAACGTTTGGGTGAAAACTTGACTCCCGTGAAACATCTACAATAGATCCAGAAACTTCTTTTAACATTAATGGCCCACAACACAGAGAAAATCTAAAAACTTGGTTTTTCGGAGACAAAAGATCAGACATTGCACGTGAACATTTTGACAAAAGTAAAAGCCAACACATGGAAAATCGCCAATGTCGAAAACCATTTGAGATTTAGAGAAGAAAGTTGTTTAATACTGCATATGTTGTAATTTAATTTATATTTATTTATTGTTACAATTTTTAACGCCAAACTGCATACATGTTTTAATAAAAAGTGAAAACTATTTTGTTTTCGTTTACTTTTTGCAAATCTAAATTATAAGTAGCAAGTAATTTTAATCATTAAAAGTATCCTTGGTGATGACAATAAATTCTTAGAAAATGTAAGGAAGGAAAAGGAAAAAAAAATGATGTATCTCTTAAACAAGAAACTTAAATTCCAAATAGAAAACGATGAAAAATTAAAAAAAAATAATGAAGGATCTACTGGGAGATAGAGAAGTCTCTATATTCGAAAATAAACACAGGAGTCTGTTTTCAAAAGTGTAAACATTTCTAATCAAATTACAATTTTTTTTTTAAATTTCTGAATCATTTTACTTTTTTTAGTTTTTGTCTGTAACACTCACTATTTTTCTTTGGACTTTTTTGGTTTTAAAATGAACAATTAAAATTTAAAACACTTGTATGTTATTTGTTAAAGAACATTATAATATTGTCAACATGATACTTAATAAGACTACAACATTAAAAATGAAATTTATGTTAGAAAAATGTGAACTAAAAGACTTCCGATTTTTCGGTGCTTAGATGAATTTTATGTTAGAAAGTCTATAAAGTCTTTGCACGGTTTTACGTCCGGTTTTGCTCAGTGCTGCTGCTTGGCCTAGCCACCGCATTTAACACTTTCATTTTTGTGGCAGAGAGTGAACAATGTCTGTAAAACACAGACATTTTTCAAGTTATGTTTTACTGTTGTGTGGTCTAGAAGTATTCGGGAAGATTCAATACGACGATGGCTTTACTATCATCAACGTTGATTATTGTTAGTGTTTTCATAGTACATCATATCCTATAATTTATATAACGTATAAAAAAGTCAACTTAAAATACAAACCACTTACGATCAAAAACAAACCACCAAGGAGAACAACTTTCATCCGTACATCCAAATCCATTGGAAAAATTATCAGCATCAGTGTACATTTCTCTAAACCAGCCAAACCATTATTGTTTTGTAATTTTACCAACTTCTTCGCTCGTATCAGCCTTCGTAATTTTGAAATTTACATCACTACCACAGCTACAAGTGAAAAACGGCCCTTTGATTCTCAACACTGTTGTAACCATTAGCATTTTTGACAGCGAAAGTCGGATAGAAAAGATTCCACTGCTGGTGGACCGATCCAATTACATTCCCTGGCGGTGAGGACACTTCTATGCTCTAAAATTTTAACAGTCAATAAGACATCATTTTTTAATAAGTAGTTGGTGTACCTGTAAACAACACGGACAACACCAAGACTGACAGGCTATAGATCGGTTCAGATGGATCACTTCGTTTTGGAAATTATCAAAAATTTGCATTCCGAATGGACGCGCGGAGCCACAACACATTCTGTCACAGCAGGCGGAGTCTTCTGCGGCGTAGAATACCATTTGGCCTAAAGTGTTTTTTATTTGGTATTTGTTTTTGGTTTCGTATCCAGTCAAAACTACGAGAGATGATAAAAATTAAACTGGGATGGTTTTTGGGAGCGTAGATTGTTCATTACTTTCTAAAATTTCGATTTGTTGATGAATTAATAGTTGATCGACTAGTGCGATATATTCTAGTCCAGGAGGGCAGTTTGGGGGCGGTGCTTGACCAGGAGGTAAGATCATGGGTGGGGGCATGAATCCAGTCATGGGCATCCAGTTATCTGAAACTACATTTAGACTGTAGCACGTTTTTTGGTAAATATACGGATGTGCTAAATTTAGACGATTTACCGTTAACTATCAAGAAAAATACAGATGATAAAGTTATTAATTCTTTTTAAAAAATTTCGTAACAAATATAGAACGCAGCACTATTGTAACATTTATTAATGAGATAACATTTTTTAAATATTATCTATCGCAAATATGAATAAGCTGTTTGACGCACAATTCCGCTTCCACATTATTAGCTTGTAAGATAATATGAAGTCACCAAAAATTTACATATCAAAAATTTTATTTCAGTAATAACTTGCGTAACACTAACATTGGAAAGAAATAAACGAAAGTAGTGATGTATAAACTAGAAAGAAATATGACAAATTATTTACCTAGATTTTGATTTGCATGTCGAGGTTGAGCATCAACTGGCCTAGGTATTGGCAAAGTATAGACCAGAGGACGTTGAAGAATTGATACTACTGGCAGATTTTCTTGGTGGCTTTCTGAACTATGATTATCTAGAAATCAAAATTGAATTAATTTTGTCTGGTAGTTTTGTGTTCTTACCGCCATTATTGTTATCTTTTGCTGTTGACACTTCTTTGTTTTCCATATTTATGTACTTATCAGAGATCTGCTATTCTCTCTCCTTAAGTATTCCAACACAAATGACGTATTACTGCATTCCAAAGGAGATATATAGATATGATGTTAAGGATTCAATTTGAAAGATAAAATTAAAAAAAAGGATATACGTAATAGAACATTTGACGGTTATGGCGTAATAATATTTGCGTCAGAAGTTTATTCAAAAGGAAGTGTTCGCAAAATTAAAAAATGTATTGTTTAAAAACGTAAGAAATTATTAAATTTCTGTTTAAAACCATTCAAAAAGAAAACCACGACGACGCTAAAAACAGGCCCTAATTTATAAGGGAGCTTTATATTGTGAAATTAAGTGACTGAAAGTGTTCTCAGATACAAGGAATAAACCAGCAATGAAAAGTAGAAAAAAGACGAAAAATTATTAGGAAGAGTATTTATTTAAATACATGCTAATTCTCAACGGTGTCCGTCTGTCCTGTATGACAGTCCTGTTTTTTTAATTTCACTACGTAGTACTTTAAAAATGTTTGAGTATTAATTATTTTGTAAGGGTTTGTTTTATCATTAAAGGCTCATCCATTCGCTTTTAATTTAATGCGCATTTCGAATATTGTCTATTTTAAAATACTTAATGCTACCAAGTTTAGGGATTAAACATGAACATGCGTCTGTTGTGAATTATGACGAAAAAATGCTTTTGTATTATGAATTGTTTTAGACAAAAATCACTTATAGTCTGTTAGATAAGAACGCATTAAAGGAAGCTTCTGCAATACATATTTCATTGAATCTATTTTTAACATGATCATGGGACTAATTGATCGTGTGACAAGTTAAAAAAATTACCTTTCAGGTTTAACGAAACCTTAATAAATTCAATATTTATTATAATTAGATATTAATTTTTCTAAAAAATATACAATTCTTTGTTTTTATTAGGTACACGAGGACTTGGTCTTTATAGCTTACTTACGTACTACCCCTATTTGATATTGAATGTTATACTAGTTTGAGCATATAAAAACTGCTGAAAATTTTAGATGTGTAAAAGAAAGCTCCAGAAGTAAATCTAAGTTTAGGAAAATTACAACATAGTGGTGTTACTGTAATGGATAAGGCAAGTGACTATTTGTATTCTAGGTTTCTCTTTTATTTGACAGTATAAAATGGGATATTCTGAGGACATCAAATTTGTTCTTGGGAAAATTTAGAAAAAAAAAAGATTTTAGTGTATAGTCATAAACTTGCTCATAGTCGACCGCTGCGTTATCACTATGTCTAGTTCTTTTAAAAATATTATAAAGAAAAGTTAGTACTTCACAATAACATTTATTTTTGGATTATTTTACAAAAAAAAAACAACAAGTACTTTATCATCTTTCGGCCCTGGAGTGTTCGTAGTATAAACTGTCCTAAAAAATAAAACAAAATGGAACAAAGTATATTTTACATTCTCATTATTTATTAATATAGAGTAACATCGACAACAAGTTAAAAAACCAAAATTTCTCGAAAATTTACAAAGCAAATTTTAAAATTTCTACGTAAATTATACATACTTACAATCAAAAAGCAAGCGCCCAACAAAGCAGCTTTTAATTTCACGTCCAACAACACCGGAAATGTAATTCTATAATGATCATCCATTTCTTCAACTCCAACCCACAATTTCGTAACATTTCCCAGCTGAGTAATGCCATCAGACAACAAAATTAAAAATTCGACATTTCTAGAACTGTATCCACTAGGACAGCGCGGACCTTTAATAAATAAGACAATCTGTCCACTTGGATTTTTAATCGTAAAAGTTGCCCCAAAAATTTCCCATACTTTTTCAACAGTTGCTACGGGAGTTCCAGGAGGTGACGACACTTCCATGGTCTAAAAATCATATTTACGCTGGTCCCGTTTTCGTAAAATCATCACTGTGTTACTTGCGAACAAAAGGACCAACAACAGAAATTACATGCCGGTGGATGATATAGATATATAACTTGGTTGTCAAAATTATCAAAAATGTAAGTATCGTAAGGAAATGTGGATTCGCAGCAGATTCTCTTGAGGCTTTCATTTTCGTCTACGTAGTATAATTTGCGGCCTAGTTGGTCCTCAATCCGACACTGCATGAAGTCTAAAACAGAAGAAAAGCAATTGGCTGAAACAATATGAGCGATTTTTTACCTTTTTTTCTGTGGACCAGCAGCTCATCACATCTTGTTAAAATTTCCAGACCTAGGGGGCAAATGAACGACGGATTCTGTTAAACTTTCTCTGTCTTGTTTATGTTGTACCATAGGTCAACTCATTGAGGAAAAAAAATAAACTTAATTGTGATTTTTATCTTGTACTAACCTGCATTATTTTCTCTTTGGTCGTATGTTTGTAACACAAGTGATAACAGTTCCAAATTTTCTCCCCACATTTTGATGGTAACTTTTAAACGTTTTGTGAAGATAGTTTTTAACGTACGTCATCTTGTTTGGTACAGGACGTTTCAGAATTTTTAGGTAATGAAAACATTTTAAATTAACTTGAATAAACAAGCTTTAATCAATTAATAAAACCCCAGACACCACGTTTAATGGTATAAACAGTCTGCTAAACGTGCCTGTACTGTCTATTTTAAGATGGTTAAATGTAGGCTTGTTCTAAAAGCAGATTTTTTCCAGATACATGTTGAATTTATTTAATCTGAAATTTGTGTCTCTCAACTCGTTCCAAAATGTAATATACTAGCATATTCAAAACATTTTTTATTGTAAATTAGGTAATTTGTTAAGTAGGTATATATTTATTTATGTTATCGAGCATCTGATAAAATTAGATAACACTTGTGTATACTGAGATGACAATAAAATCTGCTCAGTAAGTTTTTTGTTTCCTGTATTTTATATTGTTATTGCAGGATTTTATGTATACAGCTGAATGAGCATAATAAATAAAGGAAAATAGATGTTTAAAACAAATATATTATATATTAAAATACCCGTGGCACATTTTTTGAAGTGAGCTTTCTTTTTACAAATTTTATGAATTATTATTATGACATATTTTTTAACGATAAAGCGGATGGGGTCTACTATCAAGTTACAGATAAAAAACCATGTCTTAGAAACGACAGACAGAAAGAGGCATTTTTCCACCAGGCATAATTACACCATCAAAATTTCGAAAAAATTACATCAGACAGCTAGCGATAGATAAATTAAAACTTTCGTCTTCACATCCACATCCATCGACAAAGCAATCTCAAAAAAATCAGCATCAGTAAACGCTGTGTATGGAAGTGGAGGTCTCTGTAAAAACTGACGGCATGGGGGTGCGGTTGGGTCTTCATGATAACTCCGACGCTATACCTGTATGAAAATTTATGTTTCACTAGTTTCTAAATTTTGCAATGCAAGCGTATCACGAAATTTCTCACTGTTTATTTTTCTTTATTGTCCATCTTTACGTGAGTATGATTAACGCTGTTCATTTTAAATTCTCTGAAGTACATAGCATTTGACAACAGATGATAGACATGTTAAGAGATAACGAGATAAAATAGTGTCGACTTTGTAATATAGCAGTGGCGGCTCCTCAGAGGAGGCAGGGGAGGCTGAGCCTCCTCTATTTTTGGAGCTGAGCTTCCTCTAATTTTTTTCGATGAAAGAATTTATATTTTTGTAGACATTTGTCATTTTTCAGAATATTTTCTTGGATTTCATTTACTTTCATCATATATCAGGTTAAAATGTCGGAAAAATTTATATTTGTGCCCTCACAATCATAATTCACATTCACACCACTCCGCGTTTGGTTTCAGCGGCAGAGGCTTGCTAGCCGCTAGCCTCCGAACGACGATGCATCTGAACAATGAGACCGTGACCTTGACGCATCGTCAGTGTGTATTGCATTGGCTAAAACGTTCATCGCACCGCCGCTCCAAGCCGCTAGCCTCCGGCTAGTTCATCTCTTTTCAGATCAAGTCGTACAGATAACTTTATCTCTTTCTTATTAGTTGCAGCAATCGGGTGTAAGTAGGAAAAACATTGAGGTGGTTTCGCGAGCTCCCTGTTCAGTGGTGGTGGTGTTTAGGCTTTACGTAGGTAAGGGTATAAAAGGGAAGACCAACACCATCACTCCCATTAATGGTATTGACAGTTACAATTAGAAACAAAACAGAGCATTTCATGAAAATAATTATAATAAAACTAAATAGTTAACGGCTTCAGTTTTAAGAAACAAATTATACTGTTGGAATTGTGTACTAGTGATAAATCTTCCGCTTGGGGTAAAACAGGCTATAATAATTTACAAAATTTGTCACGAGCTATAGAAAGACATGAAAAATCACAGGAACACATATTTTCTTAGATTAAATTAGAAATGCTTGGTAAGCAAAACATTGCCAATAATTTAGATTCGGCTCATAAAAGGGAGAACTATTACGAGAAAGTTGGTGAAAATTGGGCAATTTTGAAAAGACTAATCGATGCAATATAATTTATCTGTCAACGCAAGAGTGTTCTTTTCGTGGGCATGACGAAAAAAATTATTCAGATAATAAAAGATATAAAAAGTAGTGCTTTTCAAATTTGAGCCTCCTCTGAAGAAAAGTTCACGAGCCGCCACTGTAATATAGGTACTCCATGATGATAATGTCAGGAACGATCTTTGCATCAGAAATTACAAAAAAATAGAACCATTGTTTCGTTTTTTTTTTAGTTCTCCGATGGAAAAGTGAGATAAACATTTTCGGTTTCAGAGTTCACTGTTCTTTTTGACATCATCTGAATGCAACTAAATTAAACAAAAGACATGAAAAAATAAAAATACAAGAACATTTTATTAAACACATGATGGTTGGTATACAGTTAAACACAGTAATTTTATCTTCTGCGATTATTATTCTGTTTCGTCTCATAAAACATCATATCCTGAAATCGCACCATAAATAAAACAAAGCTCATCACAAACCACAACCCACTTACAATTAAAAACAAACCGCCCAGAAGCACGGTCTTCATCTTCACATCCAAATCCATGGGAAAAGTAATTCCAAAAAAATCAGCGTCAGTAAACGCTTCCCTCACCCATCCAGACCACTGCTTCGTAATTTTCCCAATTTCTTCACTACCATCACCAGACGTAATTCTAAAATTAACATCATTGCCACAGCTACAAGTGAAAAAGGGTCCTTCGATTCTCAACACTGTATCCCCATTCGCGTTTTTGACAGCAAAAGTTGGATAAAAAATACTCCATTCTTGCTCAACCGACCCGATTGGGTTCCCTGGAGGCGCAGAGACTTCAATGGTCTAAAATTGTGGCAAGCTAGAAAAGTAACTTTTTTGCGACAGTCAGTGTACCTGTAAACAGCACGGGTAACAACAGGCCTGACAAGCTAGAGGTCGGTAGAAATGGATCACTTCGTTTTTGTAATTGTCGAAAATTTTCATGTCGAAGGGACGCAAAGGGCCGCAACAGTTTCTGGTGCAGAAATCGGAATCTTCGGCGGCGAAATATACCTGTTGGCCTAAACTGTTTTTGATTTGGTATTTGTTTTCGGTTTCAAAGCCCGTGATGACTAGAAAATGGCGAAATTAGGGTTGTTTTTGGGAAGGTTTTTAGTACCTTCGAGAAGTTCGACTTGTTGGTGGACTAGCAGCTGGTCGACTAAAGAGAGGTACTGTAGGCCTTGGGGGCTGTTTGTAGGAGGTACTGGTACTAGAGGTATGGGTATAGAGGCAGATGTTGGCACAGTTGGAGGCACAGGTCCCCAACTTCCTGGTAAAACTATAAACAAATTTTAACATTATGTATAAAACTTTGTGTCTGATATCATTTTGTATCAGTTCAAAATATTACACAAGTGTTATGTTTAGAAAAAATGTATCTATGGTGTGTGATTTTCTAAGCAAAACATCCTATATATTTGAAAATAATTTGAAATTATAATTGTATCAATCTGCGTCATAGAATTTTTCAGTAATGAATTATTTAGATTTAGATATTAAACATCCAGGCAGCGTCGATCTTTCATATGAGTTCGTCAAAATTCACGTTTTTACGTTGCTGATTATCTTATTATCAAAACGTAGATACAAAAAAGGTTTTTGAAACTCGCGAAGGGTTTTCATCTCGGCTACGCCTCACAATAGAAACTTTTATTAGTATTATTTTTTAACATACTTACACATGTTTTTTTTTATTATTTTTTATATTCGGTGAATATAATATGTACTTTATTTGAGCGTTAATTATTACTCTTAAATAGCCTTATGTGTTTTCCAGTGTACATTATGTGAGGGTGCGCTTGCGTAGGTATATGGTTGTGTCCATTTTCATGCGTGGTAGGTAACAAACAAACGCATGCTGGAATCAATACTGAAAGTTTAAAAGGGAGTAAGGTATTATCTGAAACTGATTTTGCAAAACACTATCATCACAGCTCGGCTAAGAAAACTTGAAATATCTGAATTATATATTTACCATATAAAATAGTAATTTATTATTATTTTTTCATTTTTACTAAGACAGTCCATATTTATTTTTAAGACACCAGATTTGTTAGTCAATTTCTAAGTCCCCTTTATGTATGTTATAACTTATAATAACAAATAAACACACAAAAGAACTGAAACGAAAAATCTGTATTTTCGACTTCTACGAACTGCAATGTTGCAATAAAACACACTGTCAAGTCAAGTGATTTTGTGATAATATTTCTATTAAGTACAGTCGAATTGTGGAAAAAAAAATCTGTGGAAACTAAAAATATCACACCTTGAACCCTAGCCAAACTTCGATGTTTCCGCTTTTAGCAACAACATCAAAATATTATTTTCTCCTACCTGCATTTTGATCAGCTGCACGAGGCTGAGCAACAACTGGATCAATTGTTGAAACTGTGTAAGGAGGGGGCGGTTGTGGAAGTCCTGGAGGCACCGATGCTGAATACCCTTCCAGATTCCCAGATTGGTTCTGAACTAAAATCCAAAATTTATTATTAAACTTTTTTTCTTTTCTTTTTAAGTTTTTACCTTCTTTATTCATCTTCACTCTTGGTATTTCTTGTTGCTAACTTTTTATTGCACTTTAACGTTTAAATAGACTTGTTAATCATTTCATCTTCATCAAGTGTTAATATATTTGACGCATTGAATGCGTTATGAAAGATAATGAAATGATAAAATACTGATTTCATGATACACTCGATGGTGATAACGTCAAGAGTAGTGTTTGCGTCAGGTGGTACCAAAATGAAGTTTGGACTAATCGTAAAAAATATTCATCATTTTTTATTGTTTTTGATAGCATTTTTAACAACTTTAAAATAATTTAAGCTCTTGGTCCACCGAGACCCCTGTATTTGTAAAATCATTTTTGAACCTAAATTTTGGTCTTCTAATCTTTTTGTTTTTAAATGTTAATTTAAAGTGTATTAAGATGTACATGACAACAAAAGACAGAATAATATTTTTTACTTAGGGTCAATTATTGCAACCGTAAACTCTACTTACCGTGTCTTTTGATAATAACAAACAACAATATTTTTAACGGTTATGAAAATAATCATAAAAATCATATTTCGGGGTTTTAGACTTATTTTTTTTATTTTTCCACAGTGACTGGTCATCATAGGAGTGAGATAACAGACTCACTTCAGATAAAAAAAGTTAATGATGATGATGATCTAACATCAAACAACTCTTGAAAAATAGATAATTCTATTAAACATAAAATTGGATACCAGTTTATTAAATTTGATCATTACTTCTTAAAAACTGCAACGCCTGGTTGTCGACGCATTCTTCGAAACTTGATCAAAGTGAGAACAGCTTTTTTCAAGTGAATTAATCCTCGAAATCCACGTGTTCATTTCTTCTTCATCTTTCGCTTGAAACAAATATTCCATCTTGTTTTTCAACCTGTAAATTATTTCCAAATTTTTGCTTGTTAGTACCAAATGTAAACATACACAAGCCTGAAAACATGCTTTTTCTTCTTGTAGAATTTATCTTCAGATGCAGTGGCGTCGTTCAGGCTTAAAGGATCCTCCCCTTGGAAAGTTTTTTCTGGTTTGGAGTGCGCTGTTTTAGAATCAGGGTAGAAGAAAATTTGAGAGTTTCGTAATACTGTGTACACTTTATTCCATTTTCTGACTGCAGCTTTTACGTATTCGCTTTGCCATTCATGTTTGCGAAATAAAGTCCCTTCGAGAGGTTCTTTAGTCGAGGGTTTGTGTTGCGCTGTTGGTATTTCATAATACTTAGATTAAAATTGTCCTGGTATATCCATTAAGAAAAAATCTCTTATCATCTTACCATGGTTGGAAAGACTTCTTTCTGTACAACCGAAAGATACTCTCAGGTTTAATCTAACCAGAATATAAATGATAATTTAGTGTTAAAACTTCTTTTTGTTATATATAGTTCAAACCTGAAGTATAGTCTCTAGTATTGTTAAAATTTTTGCTATTTTCAGATCACCTCTGTCCCTAGTTTATGATATTTTAAAAATTCATTCGATAATTGACTTAACGGAATATTTTGCTAATAAAAAATCTTCCAGCAGTGATTGCAGCAAAATTACCTGTTTCGGTAACTTCGACGAAAAAATCGTTTTGAAATTAAAAACAATTACCTACAGAATTTTCAAGGAACAAAATGGCGAACACAAATTATCTTCACTGTCTGTTTATTAGTTCGACTGAAAATGAAATGACCTGAAACATAGATGCTTATTATTTCAACAATTGCATCAATTTCGCATTCAAAGACAAGAAAATGTAGTTTGATATTTCTTGTAAATCGCTGTGTTTTTTAAAATAGTGTTTTAGAATGATTTTAATAAAGTATATGTTTGAAGTGCTAACCACTCAATACATTTTTAAATATATCTGTTCACTGTTTGATATTCGATTAGTTACATACCGAATTCTAGATTTTCCATTGGTAGTAACCTTCTCGCGTGAACGATAAACCTTACTGATCAAAGAATTCATTTCCTAAAATATGGTTTTTGATATATGTGGTAAATGTATTAATAGACCACAGTATTTACTAAAGATAAGATAGGATAATACTCTGATTTAGAATTACCTGGAACAATCAAAATAAGGTCTTCTTTTTTAAAACACTTTTTAAAATGTAACTAACTATAAATTTTTGACAAAAAAGTAGACGACCACTGAATTCTTTATTTATGTAAAATATAAAAATACAACTCAGTGTAGGTTCAAGAGTGAACGGAAACATAATCCTAGCAACACTGTGTCAGTTCACTCATTTGCGCCGGTTACGCTGATATACTTCTTCCTGTAAACAAATGGTGACATCTTCAATCGAAAAAGAAGAATATTTTTACAATCATGTACCAAGCGGCCAACAAAGTTACCTTCATTTCGGCCACTAAATCTCTCGGAAAAATAATTTTGTACAAATGTTGCTCACTCATCCAACCTGTCCACACCCTAGTAATTTTTCCAGCCTCTCGAGATTCATCAGTCGAATTAATAGTGAAGTCAACATCCTTTGGAAAAAGTTCAAAAGTACTTCTCTTCACATTGAAAACAGTTTGGCCATTCCAACGCTGTAAGCATACTGAAAAGATGCGCCGTCCAGTTCTACGGTACCTATGAGAGTACCGCAGGTGTGAAAGACTTCAATTCTCTAAGTTTGGGTAACATAATAATAAAGTTTGAGAAAATTTTGTCTCTTGGAGATACATACTAAGCCATAGCAACACTCTTGGTGCCGTTGGAAAAGGACTACAGGACTTCCAGAATTATCGAAGAGTTGCATGTCGTACTAAGCCCAGGCAACGTTCATGGGTGAAATCGAAAAAAGGTTTTGATTCAAGTTGTTTTTTACGTTGTATGTGTAGAAGGGTTCACCCGAACAAGAACAGTCTAAAATGTAAAGAATTATAACACGCTTGTTGCAAAACGAGAAAATAAATTTTTGTTGCATTTGATGTATGTACCTCATGATTCCATACTGGGTTTATTGTAATTAAAGACGTGGGCGGTGACATTTTTCAACATTGATTTATCTAAAGGATAAAATATTGGCCAAGTAGTATTTAAAAAATCGCATTTTACTTATCAAAGCAAATTGTGTGCGCAAAGAACATCTTTTTTTATACATTATAAATAGCCTGGCGAAATAATTGTACTACTCATAGAAGGCCCAAGGCTCCATAATGCGTCCCAAGTTATATAACATGTTTATAAGTGACATTTATAAAAGAAGTTTTTCAATCTTTCTCTTTTAACTAAATATATGACTTGAATAATTAAATTTCGAAATTGTCTATTGCTTAGCTAAACAACTCTTTTAGATCTAGGTGCCTACCTTAAGAAAAAAAGTAACTCAAAAAGTGTCTGCTCATTCAGCATATATTCAAAAAAGAAATACTTATTTAAAACAAGTAAGTAAGTGGGTGTAGATACTTACAGTTGAATGGTTCCTTTCTATACTTAGTTGGTCGACTTCACGAAGACTTTCGAATCCTGGTAGACAGATAATAGGGAACCTGGACGTAGCCACATTTGCAAAACCTAAATATAGGTCAATAAAAAAAATTGGTTCAGAATGTCATCTGATTGTGTTATATAAACGTATGAAGTCGAACTAAAACACTTGTTTAATAATAAAGGAACCAAACGGAACCAAACTGAACAAAAACTGTTCTAACTTAAAAAAATAATAATTCCACGTAACCCACGTAAAATGCTACTATTTAAAAATTGCAATAAAAAAACGAACAAAATTTAATTTCGGCGAATTCTGTCACCACTTTTACATACAGTAATTATGTTTTGTGCAATTTTGAAAATATTAAATATTTGTGCTTAATTAATGTAACAAATCTCTAGGAATTTAATTGTTACGCTCTTGTGTAATTCTTTAGACACACGAAATTTGAAAAAGTCCTTCATAAAAATGTTTACTGGCAGTGGAACAGGTTGCATATTTTTTTAACTGGTTTTTCGGAAAAAAATCCTTTCTGGAATATGCACAATTCAAACGCAATTCAGATTTACAAAAACTAAAAGTTGCAATAAACGAAAATGATCCAAAACGAGAATTTTGCAAAGAATATTAATTTTAAGTAAAAAAAAAGCAATAGTAAATCTACGAATGCTTTAATATTTAGAGCGTTCTGTCAACTGAAGTATTATTACGAAATAAACCCATACGCTGCTCTAGTACGACGCCTATGGGTTTTCTAGTATGTAAAATTAATGAATGCGTGGATATATTTTATTTATTTAATCAGGAACTACAAAACCGAATGTTTTGAAATCTTGGAGATGTTTTACATTTATCATAGGCATGGTAAATTTTTGATCAAAATATATTTGCTCATCCCCCCTTAAAAAATTGATCACGTCACCGTAAAATTTTTCCGAAAAAAATGCTATCTTAAATGTGCATTGTGTGAAGTATGATGACTCTATAATTGTGATTTTTGTAATAATTTTTAATGAAAATGTATCTGTATGCCCAAAAAATTGATTACGGCATCTCAAAATTTTATCGAATAAATTCTGTCGCAAATGTGCAAAATATGAACAGACTTTTAATCATTGCATTCATATTTTTAGGTTTGCTGAAACGGGTGACTCAAAAAAATTAATGAATTAGTCAATTTATTATTGATCAAATTAAGAACGAGCCACCGCATTTTCTGGAAAATGTGAGAATACGCTCGTCTTTATCACAATAAAATAATGATAAGGTAAGAATAACAACATTCAGAATATTTTGTTTAGTGGAGGTCTATGAATAATTTTAGTCATTTGTTTTGGGGCGATAAACTCATTCAAATCAAACAAATGTCTACGTGACATTCTTCCGATGTAATGTATTATGTTAAAAAACGTAATAGGAATAGGTATGCCGTCGTCCCGTTTCCGACAGTGAGGGAAGTACTGTCTAAACTCTTTAGACCAATTTTTTCTTAGCTAATTTGATTGCGGCGTCGGCGTTTAGTCTTATATAATATTTCCTGTAAACCATTGATTATGTCTTAAATCCAAAACGAAAAATATACTCAGAATCTTGTACCAAGCGGCCATTAAGCCACCTTCATTTCTGGTGCTAAATCTTTCGGAAATATAATTTTGTAAAGGCGTCGTCCACTCATCAAACCCGTCCGTATCCAAGTAATTTTTCCGATTTCTATAGACCCAGCAGCCAACTTAATACTGAAGTCAACATTCTTTGGAAAAAATTTAATCGCACTTCTTTTCACTTCGAAAACAGTTTGGCCGTTGGCGTCTCCAACGATGTAGGCAGAGTTCAAAAATCCAACTTCCCTCTGGACGGTGCCTATGAGCGTACCTTGCGAGTGAATGGCTTCGATTTTCTACAATTTAATATTTGAAAATGAAATTTCGGATAAATGTTGTTGACTGGATTCATACCAAGCCAGAGCAACATTCTCTGCATCGTTGGAAGAGGACTACTGGATTTCCAAAATTGTCGAAGAGTTGCATATCGTATGACATACAGCTGACGTTCACTGGTGAAATCGAAAAAAGCTTTTGGTCGTAATTGTTTTTTACGTTGTATGTGGAGGAGAATTCACATGAACAAGAACAACCTAAAATGCAAAAAATTATAAAACAAAATAAATATTTGACAAAAATCAAAGTTTCATACTGGATCTGTTTAACGACTTGTTCTTTAGGTATACCAACATTTATTGGTACAAAGGAAAAAATATTGGCCAAGCTGTATCTAAAAACAGTCAAATTGCACTCATAAAAGCAACTTTATGCATCAAAAACATCTTTTATTTTTTTGTAACTTTAGTTATTTTAGAGTTTACACGTATACGTTAGTTACAAATTTTACTTTAAATAGACTAGAAATGTCACAAGCAACTGTATTCCTCACAGATGGTCCAAGAATCCATAATCTGTCCATTTTTATGCAATATAGAAGTATTTATTACTCACACGTAGCATCCCTGATCAAAGTATTGTTTTTGCCTAAGGACTTTTCAAACCTTTACTTAAAAATATATGCCTTAAATATCTAAATTTTGAAACTCTTGCTTGGTTACATAATTTTTAAGATTTTAAAACAACTATAGGTTTTGGTTTGCATAATTATGATTTTGTTTAAAATGAATTTAGATACTTACAGTCCACTGGCTCCTTTTCTATACTTAGTTGACCAACTTCACGAAGACTTTCAAGTCCTGATAAACAGGTCACAGGAATGTGGAAGTAGCCAAATTTTGAAAACCTAAATGTACGTCATCAAAAAAATGTCCAAAATGTTATTTGTTCCTTTTATATATATACATATAATATGAAGTCGAACTAAAACACTTGTTTAATGATAAAGGGATCAAACTTTACAAACAAAATCTTCTAACTAAAAAAAATAATAATAAAATATGCAAGAAAATTTCATTTTGGCGAATCCTCTCACCCCTCCTACCTAATTATGGTTTGTGTAATTTCGAAAATATAGAACATATATTAGAAGATGGAAGCTACAAAATATAGGAAAAAATCCATGCGAAACAGATTAGAATAGATTTTATACTTCTAAATCCAACAAATCCCTTTAATTTTGTAAGAAACATTCGTATCAGTCAATACTTTGCAGAAAACTTTACACGTTCTTTTTTAAGAATTCTAAACATTCAAAATTAACAAAAATGTGAACAGTCTTAATAAAATAATTCACCAAATTTTGCCGTTCTTGCATGAAACTGAGTAAGTAGGTACGAAATCGTCAAAAAAATCCACTAGGTACCGGTAGAATAAACTACAAAGTTTTTATTGAGTTCAATGTTTTAATAATAAAAAAAAATAATAATTTTTGCTTAAAAATATGTCTATATTTAGAGGGTTATTTTATCTTAATATATGTATTTATAATTCTAAAACAAAAAAAGTTTGAATTAATAATAATTATAACAAGATATACTCTATGCCTATACGATTTAAAAGGCTAATTTGCATTTTTTATGGTTTGGATTAATGAGTTAAAAATGCATTTTAGAAATTTCCAAAAATCTCACAAAAAATGTGTTGCTCTACACTCTACATTTTAATTTTGTATAAAAAATCCTACAAGCTATTCAAACAAAAGTAGCTTAATTTTTTAAATTACCTACTTACGTGGCTGATTCAAAACCGGTTGTACGGTTTCATACGCAGGCGGAGCATCTCCAATAAATCCAGATCGACTAAATCCTAAAACTGAAAATATAAACTTGCGCAGCTTAAAAACTTTTTCTTTTTTACCATCTGTTGACATTTTGTTCTTTAATTGAGCTCGTTAAACAATAAATGTTTGGTACGGATTTTTCGGTAAATGTGATTACTGATTAGTGATTATCATCCACATCTGTTGTTATAAGCTTTCAGGATATCTGACACATATTTAAAAACATTTGAGTCATAAAAGATAAGAGTGGTAAAAATATGTACCTATTCTACGCATACAAGTAAAATGTGTTTTTTTGCGCTCATGACCTTTTTCATGAGTTTCGCGCACTTACCAGAGTGCGGAAGGTTAAATTTCCCGCACGCGTGCTTTTAATTTCTATTGCCATGGTAACCTTAAAGTAGCTTGGAAGCGTTGTGACTCAGAATTAATCTTTTATTTTACAAATGTATTCTTTGCAAAAAATATTGTTCACAATACGAAGCGTACTTCCCGCATTCACGTAAATGCGGCACTCCCTATAATCAAGCGTTCATGCGGGAAGCATACTTTCCCGAACTAGTGTAAATTCCTATGTATTTTGCTATTGACTGTAAAATACTCGTACGTGATATTTATTTTATATTTGTTATATTTCTTCTTGCCGAAGATTATGCATTTATCATGGACTATTTAAAAAAGTCTGTTACGCAGTATGATAGAACTCAGTTGGTGGTTCAACGCTTGCATTTTTTAAAGGAACAATGTTCAAGATATTTTTGTTTTTGTTGAAAAAAATTGTCATTCATAGCTCCATAATTTTTGGAATTTTGCACAAACTTTATTTTTATTTTATTTTGACAGAAAATACAAAATATTAAACAAGATTCAAATGTTTCTACACATGGTGAACAATTTGTAAAAATTATTTGATTTAAGATACCTTTATTAAAAATACATGTATGTACTATACAGAATATATTATTTAATTTTTGAGTTATTTATCTATATATAAAATTCAGTGAATATAAAAAAATACATTCAAAGAAGCACGGTAACACATTAATATCACACATCCTTTAGTCCTGGGAACTCTGTCTTAGTGACGTCGGTATCGGCGTCGTCGGTGCTCCCTCTCCTGATACTGCTGGTATATTTCTTCCTATAAACAAATAATTACATCTCCAATTTAAAACGACAAACATACCCACAATCATGTACCAAGCGGCCAACAAAGCCACCTTCATTTCCGCTGCTAAATCCCGTGGAAAAATAATTTTGTACAGATGGTGAGCACTCCACCGACCAGTCCACACCCTAATAATTTTTCCAACTTCTACAGATTCAGCAGCCGATTTAATTCTGAATTCAATGCCATTTGGAGAAAATTCGGCCGTCGTGATTCTTTTCACCTTGAAAACAGTTTGGTCATTGGCATCTCCAACGATGTAAACACTGCTAAAAATTCCGCCTCCCAGCTCTACGGTACCTATTAGCGTACCAAGCGTATGGATGACTTCAAATCTCTAAGTTTTCAGTTTAGAAAATTAAATTTGGGAAAATTGTTCCTGTTGGATACGTACTAAGCCAGAACAACACTCTCTGCATCTTTGGAAGAGGACTACTGGGTTTCCAAAACTATCGAAGAGTTGTATGTCGTAAGACGTACAAGTTCTGTTCACTGGTGAGATCGAAAAAAGGATTTGGTCGAAGTTGTTTATTACGCTGTATGTGAAGAAGGGTTCATCCGAACAACAACAAAAAACTAAAATATAAAGAAGAAAGATAAATAATATGCTTTTTTGGCAGAACGGAAAAATGAGTTTTTGTTGCATTTCAAGCAAGGCTCCATAGTAGGTTTACTTGTATTTAAACATCTCAGCAATGACATTTTTACTAACATTTGTTCACATATCTAAAGCGTAAAAAATATACTATGAAAGCAACTTTTATGTTAAAAAGAACATTTATTTTAATGAACTGTGGTTTCAAATTTCGCCTGATCACACCGGCTATGAGATTAATAATAGTTTACTTTCCTGCCTTAAGAAAAAAGTACGTTAATTTTTTTTATATACTTACATATATATCAAATAATAAAAGGCACGATATTGTTAAAATAATTAAGGCTTGGTTGATATAATAACGTTTTTCTTTAAAATGGACCTGATACTTACAATCGGTTGGTTCATTTTCGATAGTGAGTTGGTCGAGTTCACGAAGATTTTCGAGTCCTGGTGGACAGGCAACGACAAAAGAGGGAGTCGCCAGATTTGTAAAATCTAAATATGCGTAAACAAAAATAAAAATGTTATCTACTTCTATAACAATAAAGTGGCCAATAATTCTACTTTATGCAATTTCGAAAATATTGAAAGTATTAATTAAGAAGCATGTTAAAATAACAAAACAGATGGACGCTACAAAATATCGAAAACTGTTAGGAATTTAATTTCGTGAGAAACAACTTTAGATCAACATTTTAAAACTTATCATAAAATTTTACATCAACTTTGAGAAATATATTTTCGGAATTCCAAACATTCAAAATGAAGAAAATACGCACAAAAATCTTAATAAAATTATTCACCAAATTTTTACACTCTTGTGTAATTTCATACATGAAATGAAAACAATTTAATAACTACGAAAAATGTTCAACAAAAAGGAATGAAAAAAAATGAAAGAAAGGAGATATCAACATCAAAAAAATTGTTTAATCCAAAATTTAATTAACAATTTTGAGATGCAAGGCGTATATAAGAAAATTTCCCATGAAAAAAGAAACTAAATAATAAATACTTAAATGCAATTGTATACCTAAAAATAAGTATATAAAAATTTTTAAAGCGATATCTTATCTTAATTTATGTATTTAAGAACCTAACGAACAAAGGAATTAGGATTAATACTTTTAGGATTAACAATTTAATAAGATAAGCTATGTCCATAGGATTTAGACGATTTTCTTATTTCTATTTTTATATAGTGTGGAGCTGATAAGTTAAAAATGCATTTTTGATATTTCGACAAAATTTTCGAAAAAGCAAATTTCGGACAAAAAAACTGTTGATCTACATTTTAAATTTGAACAAAAAAATTTTCGAGGTATCAAAAAAAATGAAAGTAGAAAATCTAAAGAATTTTAATGAGGAAATCGACTGACCTGGTGCACTTCCATAAGGCATTGGTTGATTTAAAACTGCTTGTAAAGATTCATAAGGAGGAGGAGGATCTTCATATACTCCAGAATGACTAACCTCTAAAAAATAAAGTAGGTATAATAAAAATGCACACACTAAAAACTATTTTGTTTTACTAGTAATTGACATTTTATTTATTTATTTTATTATCTTCAATTGAGCTCATTAAACAAGAAGTGTTTGGTTCGAATTTTTAGACAATTGTGATGATCGATATTATCCACATCTGACATTCAAACTATTTGATACGTATCTAAAAGAGAAATGAGTCATAAAAGATAAGGGTTATAAAATATATAATATCCTGCTGTATGTATATCATTTTATAGAAAATAAACATGACAGTGGAGTTGTTACGAAGCGGTCCAACGTTTTTTTTTAGTGAGGTATAACAGATTTCGGTATTGACTCACTGGGTGGGATGTTTGTCGCAATTCTATAACGGGACGAGGGGCGGGACGGAAACGGGGAAACGGAAACGGCATTTTCAGCTTGCAAAACATTAGAAATCGTACTATGTATATTTTTTATTTTATTTGTTGGGCCTGAGATATAGTAACAATCAAAGTTAGCAACTTTTACGACACAAGCTTTTTTTATGTGGATTGTTTCTAACAAAAAAAATCGATTTCTGGAGTTTGGTAAACTGAAAACATTGTTGAAAACTGTGTTCTGAAATTTTCTTTAATAATTGAGATATTGAATTTATGTTATATATGTTATCCAAAAATTTCACTAAAATTGAAAGAAAAGTATGATCACAAATTGTTTTTAACAAAATTGCCCTTACGTTATATGTATAAAGTTATGGACAACATATATTTAAAATTTCAAAACCATAAGTCTGTTAATAATGGAGATATTTACGAAAACGTAGCGACTGGCCTTAAGTATACAAAGGTTTGCAACAAAAATCTAACCCACTGACTCACCACCAAAATTTTTTATATCTCAATATTACCCTACTTACAGCAAATACTTTGGAGTGCTAGATAATCACTGCTGTAGTGACGATACCAAACAAGGTGGAAACTGCAGCCTACAGTTTTTCATATGGGGTCTAACCATTCAGATTAGAAATTCTTTAGAGGTATTTATTTTTTGTATAAATATTTATTTTTGTTTTATAATACATATGTAAATTTATAAATCGGATATTAATTTTATATTCGTTGGATTTTTACTTCCCGAGCGTAAGCAAAGGAAGTATTGTAATCGAGTCCGTCGGCCGACTCTCTACTTTTACGTTTTCTCGAGCTTTCATGACCCCTAGAAGACGAAGAAATAGGTCTCCCATTTCCGTCTGTCTGTCCGTCTGTCCGTCTGTCCGTCTGTCCGTCCGTCTGTCCGTCTGCCGTCCCGGATTTTTATTAGACAGATAATCTCCGAAAGTACTCGACCGATTGTTGTGAAATTTTGTACTTATATTAAGAATATCATGTAGATGGTAAAACGCTAACCAAAACTTGTCTAATCATCCCCACCACTAATGCGATGACGTCACTTCAAAATTGTACATAGTAAATGGGTTTTCAATTGTATAAAATAACATAGTCCTACACATGTAGTTAACAACTCTGAATCGACTTTACACCCGAAACGTCCAGATTTTTGGAAAAAAAATCAAAATTATAAAACAACATTTTGAAATTTAATTTTTAATCTGCTAACCAGAATGCTTTGAAATGTTGCAGATGTTTTAAAGCTATAAAGAGCATCATAAATCTTTAGTCAAAAAATATTTGCTTATCCCCTCCAAAAACTTGATGACGTCAGCTCAAAAGTTTGTGGAATAAATCATATCTAAAATGTACAAAATATGATGAGTCTGTACTTGTGATCTATCACTCCATTCATATTTTTTGGATTTGCATATACAGGGTGACTCAAAAAAATTAATGAATGCGTAAATTTATTTTACTGATTTACTCAGAAACTACAAAACCGAATGCTTTGAAATCTTGCAGATGTTTTAAGGTTATAAAGAGCATAATAAATGTTTAGTCAAAATATATTTGCTTATCCCCTCCAAAAACTTGATGACGTCAGCTCGAAAATTTGCCGAATAAATCATATCTAAAATGTACAAAATATGATCAGTCTGTACTTGTGATCTATCACTCCATTCATATTTTTTGGATTTGCATATACAGGGTGATTCAAGAAAATAAATGAAAGCGTAAATTTATTTTACTGATTTACTCAGGAACTACAAAACCGAATGCTTCGAAATCTTGAAGATATTTTAAAATTATCATAAGCATGGTAAATTTTTGATCAAAACGTATTTGGTCGTCCCCCCTAAAAAATTTATGACGTCACCACAAAATTTTGCTGAATAAATCCTATCTAAAATGTACAAAATATGGTGAGTCTCTTCTTGTGATTTATCATTCCATTCAAATTTTTTCGATTTGCATATACAGGGTGACTCAAAAAAATTAATGAATGCGTACATTTATTTTATTGATTTAATCAGGAACTACAAAACCGAATGCTTTGAAATCTTGCAGATGTTTTAAGGTTATAAAGAGCATAATAAATTTTTAGTCAAAATATATTTGGTTATCTTCTACAAAAAACTGATGACGTCAGTTCAAAAGTTTGCCGAATAAATCGTATCTAAAATGTACAAAATATGATGAGTCTGTACTTGTGATTTATCATTCCGTTCATATTTTTGGATTTGCATATGCAGGGTGACTCAAAAAAATTAATGAAGGCGTGAATTTATTTTATCGATTTAATCAGGAATTACAAAACCGAATGCTTTGAAATCTTGGGAATATTTTAAAGTTATTATAAGCATGGTAAACTTTTGTTCAAAATGTATTTGTTCATCCCTCCTAAAAAAATTGATGACGTCACCCTTAAATTTTGCTGAATAAATCCTATCTAAAATGCAAAAAATATGATGAGTTTGTACTTGTGATTTATCATTCCATTCATATTTTTTAGGTTTTCTTAAGAGGTGGTTCAAAAAAATTAATGAAGTCAATTTATTTTATTGATTAAATTAAAGGCAACACTTATTATTAGTATTACACCCCAAGCAACCCAATTTGGTAGACACAAAATTTGTTAAAGGATAAACTCGGTTGAAACAAGGGTAGCACGCTTATTTACATCGACTTTAACATTACAGACCTGCATTTGTTTTATGCGCTCACTTGGTTCCGCGAATGTGAAATAGACATGTTTATAATCAACCAATTGTGAATTTCACCGTCAAGAATTAAAATAAAACCCAATGTTTTATATAATAAGCGGAAGTCGAAGCAATAAAACCGATGGTCGTTTTGTTTACAGTTTCTCTGTTTGACTCTCACGTATGCTGTTACGTTTGTCATCTTAAATTAAGAATGTTTATACATAAACGATTTTCATTTGCCGTATACGTGAGTAAATTGTTTCGTTATTTTATTGATTATAAAAAATCAATATTCAAAACGACCCAATTCATTTTCCCGAAAATTTGGGAATACAATAATTTAATTCTTAGTATTACACTACATCTATCCCAACTGATATACGTGTCCTTGCAAAAATGTTGATGACGTCATCGCAATTTTTTTTAAATTCCCACTACAAAAATGTAATGAGAAAAAAACACAATAGCCATGCAGTCGTCAAGTTTCCGACAGCGAGGGAAGTACTGTCTAAACTCTTTAGACCAATTTTTATTCATAATGTTCCGCACTTGGTGGACAACATTAGACATTTATAACTAGTAGAGGCTGTTAAAAAAATGTTTAAAATATTTAAAATATCTTTATTTTTTACAAATATATAAATATATATAATTTTTTAAATTTCCTGAGTAAAAGAGATCTTAACAGTATATGTAAAAAGTAGGCTCAAGAAAGAGCGGTAACACATAATCACTCGTCGTTTGGTCCCAGGAACTCACTTTCAAGTACTACGATTGCGATGACTATCTTGATAATCCTCCTCCTATAAACAAAGGATTATGTCTTCAGTCCAAAACGAAAAATATACTCACCATCATGTACCAAGCGGCTAACAAAGCCATCTTCATTTCCACCAATAAATCTTTTGGAAAAACAATTTTGTACAGGTGTCTCGCGCTCATCCATCCGCTCCATAACCAAGTAATTTTTCCAACTTCTTGCGATCCATCAGCCGACATAATACTGAAGTCAACATCCTTTGGAAAAAATTGAAAACGACTTCTCTTCACTTTGAAAACAGTTTGGCCATTGCCGTCTTCAACGATGTAAGCAGATTTCAAAAATCCAGCTTCTAGCTGAACGGTGCCTAGCAGCGCGCCATGCATGTGAGTGACCTCAATTCTCTAAGTTTTCGTTACAGAAAATTAAATTTGGAAAAACTGTTTTTGTTGGATACATACCAAGCCAGAACAACACTCTCTGCATCTTTGGAAGAGGACTACTGGATTTCCAAAACTATCGAAGAGTTGCATGTCGTATGACGTACAGGTTGAGTTCACTGGTGAAATCGTGAAAAGGTTTTGGTCGAAGGTGTTTTTGACGTTGTATGAGTAAAAGGATTCACACGAACACGAACAATCTAAAATAAAAGAATTATAGAATGCTTTTACAAAACGGAAAACAAGATTTGTTGCATCTGAAGTACCCTCATGGCTTCATAGTAGTCTATTTGCAACGACCTGAACAGTGACATTTTTACTAACACTTTTTAGCTACAAATAAAGAGATTTATAGCAGCTTTATTCATAGGTTTGTTGTTGCCCAACCACTTAAAAATTTTTAACTCTTCGCATAGCTATAATATATGGTTTGAATAATTAAAATATTGAAATTGTCTTTTAAATACTATTTAGTTAAACAACACTTTTAGACGTATGTACATGTCTTAAGAATAAAGGGAGCTCAAACATTATTCTACCGATCACATACCTACCATAAAAGTGCACAATATTTCTAAAAACAACTAGGTTTGGACTTGCATACTTACATTCGATTGGTTCCATTTCTATATTTAGTTGGTCGAGTTCACGAAGGCTTTCGAGTCCTGACAGACAGGCAAGAGGGAACGCGGTCGTAGCCACATTTGTAAAATCTAAATATGCGTCATCCAAAAAAAAAAAAAAAAATCAGAAAGTGATCTGTTTCTATCATATATATCAAGGTAGAACCAAACACTTGTGGAACTATAGATAACCAAATTTTACAAAGAAAATACTGTAACTAAAATGTCAATTTTCACATAACTCACCACTCGTACATTTAATAATTCTACTTTTTGTTATTCAGAAAACAAAAAAAAGGAGGATTCAAAACATCCAGATCTAGAAAGACATTTTGAAAGTTCCAAACATTTTTTTTTTAATTTGTAGAATTCAAATTTAGTGCAGATCTATGTATATGTACCAACTAAATGTTGAAGAGACAGGAAAGAAGATAGATACCGACATCAAAATATTTTAAAAGATAAACAGTTGTAAACTTAAATATTAGTCAATATTTCTAGAGCGTCATCTAATCTTAATCTATGTAAGTACTTATGATCATAAAGTACACAAACGTTAGTAGTGAATAATACAATTTAGGAAGAACACTTTGTAACCATAAGATTTAAAAGACTAATTGTTTTTATGCATTTTAAATCTGCTGATCTAATAATATGTTTTAATTTTTAACAAAAAAATATTAAAACAAAATATAATCTGATACAAAATTTAAACATTTTTAAATTCAAAAATCAACTTACCTGGTGTAGCTCCATAAGACACTGGTTGTTTTAAAACCGGTTGTAGGGTTTCATAAGGAGGAGGAGGGTCTTCATATACTCCAGATCGACTAAATTCTAAAAACGAATATATAGAAATCCGCACCTTGGAAACAAATTATTTTTACCATTAGTTGACATTTTATTCTTTCAACTCGTTAAACAAGAAAGTTGCTTTCAAATTTTTCGACAGCTGTATCATCTACAACTGATACGTTACTTACTTCAAAATATGAATCATAAAAGATAAGAATGATAAAATGTGTAGAATCCTGTTTTATCTGTATGAACAAAATCTCATCTTACAGTTAATAAACATGACGATATACTTAATTTTTGTTATAAATTTTATTTTTGTTAGATTTTTAATTAAAACGCCCCAACATCTTTGTTGTGGTAGGCACTTACCGTGGACTATAAAAAAACTTTGTTTTAAGATATCGTAAGTATTTATTAAAAATATATACACAATATTTTTTTAAATGTTTAAATGAGTATTTTAATTACATCAAAATATATATTCGTCACAGTAAATTTAAAAGCAAAGCTACGTTTACGGAAGCACGGAAACACATTTATCACATTATCAGTTTGCTCCAGGAACTTGGGTTCAGCTATCATGATTGCGACGGCTAGCCTGATATGATGCTTCCTGTAAATCAATGATTATGTCTTCAATCCCAACCGAAAAAATTACTCACAATCATATACCAAGCGCCCAATAAAGCGACCTTCATTTCCGCCACTAAATCCCTTGGAAAAGTAATGTTGTACAAGTGTTGCGCACTCATCCAACCAGTCCACACCCTAGTAATTTTTCCAACTTCTACAGACCCACCAGCCGACTTGATACCGAAGTCAACATTACCTGAAAAAAATTCAAATGATGTTCTCTTCACTTTGAAAATAGCTTGGTTATGGGCGTCTCCAACAACGAAAGCGGTGTTGAAAAATCCGGCTTCCCTCTGGACGCAACCTATGATCGTACCAAGCGTGTGAATGATTTCAATTCTCTAAAATAAAATATTAGAACATGAAATTTATGAAAAATATTATGGTTATTGGATACATACTAAGCTAGAGCAACATTCTAGGCATCGTTGGAAGAGGACTATTGGGTTTCCAAAACTGTCGAAAAGTTGCATATCGTATGACGCACAGCCGACGTTCACTGGTGAAATCGAAAAAAGCTGTTGATTCAAGTTGTTTTTCACGTTGTATGTGTAGAAGGGTTCACACGAACAAGAACAAACTAAAATGCAAAAAATTGTTAATATACGGAAAAAGACGCCTTGTTAGGTTTAACGCTATAATGGATTTATTTGTATAGAGACAGAATGCAATTTTTAAAAATTGAGATTATTCTCTTCAAGTCTGAAGTTGAATTGCGGAAAATTTTTGTACGCTTACTTTGGTTTGAAATTTCTCCAAGACCATTTAGGTAGTTTATTTAACAGCTGCATGCACATTTTTGTTTTTGTCCAATGACTTGAAGTTTTTCAAGACTATTAGCTGTATGTGATTTACATAATTAAATTTTGAAACTGTGTATTGCCTAGTTAAAAAAGTAATTTAAATTTGGGCACCTGTCTTAAGAAAATAAAACCTCTAAAATTATTCCATACATCATAGATTAAAGAACGATACTTTTAAAACAATTAGGGTTGGGTCCACGTTATAATGATTTTGCTCAAAGTTGATCTAGATACTTACAGTCGACTGGCTCCTTTTCTATAGTTAGTTGGTCGACTCCACGAAGGCTTTCAAGTCCTGGTAGGCAGGTAACAGGGAACGTGGGACTAGCTGTATTTGTAACGCCTAAACGTAGGTCAACAAAAAAAATGGTTCAGAATATTATTTGATTTTATTATAGGTATGAAATAGAATTAAAACACTTGCTTATCCATATAACCCATAAGGGACCAAAGTTTACAAAAAAATCTTCAAAAAAAAAAGAATTTCCACCTAACCCACGTACCCAATAAGATGTTATTCTTCCAAACTTCGTTTAATTTTTACGTTCTTGTGTTACTTACCACATGAAATTAAAAGTTTGATTTTTTTCAATTACTACTTTACTGCATGTGTAATTGGTTGAAGAGCTTGTTTGAGTTACGGGCTTTTTGGAGGGTTGTGAAAATGTAAAGAAAATAAAAAAATGTTTTAATCAAAAATTTAGGAAACAATGTTCAAATGCAAGATGTATCTCAAAAAATTTTCAAAAAAAATAAATAGAAATAATTAAAAATTAAAAAACTAAACCTAAAAATATGTTAGAGTCTTATATCTATGTATTCAAATTCTAAAAGACAAAAATAATATTAACAACACTAAATATTTCATAAAAACAGTACCTATAAGATTTAAAATTTTTTTATAGCTTAGAGTTTAATTTAAAATTTAAAGATTTTTTTAATAAAGAAATCTACTTACTTGATGTGCCTCTATGAGGCGATGGCTGGTTCAAAACCGGTTGTAGAGATTCATAAGGAGGAGGAGGAGTATCTCGATATAGTCCAGAGCGACTAAATTCTAAAAATGAAAATAAAAAATTCTGCACATTAAGAACTGCGTTTTTACCATTAGTCGACATCTTATTCTTCAGTCTAACTCGTTACGCAAAAAATGTTGGGTCCCGATTTTTTGATAGATGTAATCATCCGTATCATCCACATATGTTGTTACTGGATTTCAAACTGTGTGGCGGGCATCTAAAGACAAATGAGTAATGAATGTTAAAATATGTACCATTCGATTTTATTTATACGAATATCGTTTTACAATTGATACACATGAAAATACAGGTATTAACTTTGATTTCTGTACGTACTAAAATCACGTTGTACTAAGTGTATACTCCTGTCTGTTATAATATTTTTATACGGGGGATGTCCCAACGCGTATTGTGGACTAACGAAAAAAAATCCTACCACCAATTAATAAAACTCGTTGAAGTCACAATTATGTTCCATTTAATAATTAAAGTACTTACATAAAAAAAGTTGTCTTGTGCTAAATGGAACACCGTTTATATTTTTACATTTAGATATATTTTTTTTATCAAAAATCAACTTTTTGGTTGAAAAGAAATTTACATTTGGCCAAACTTTTTTAAAATTGTGTGTTACCATATATATTTTCTATATAAATTGCTGTAATATTGATCCTTAAAAATGTATGACTGTTGGTCATTTTTTTTTGTAACTACACTTTTTAGTTAATTTTTTTGAACACAAATATCACTTTTATTTATACTACTGATCATTGATTAAATACATATGCTTTGTGGACCCGAACCGCAAGATTATTACTGTCCATTGTTGGCATAATGTAGCTGTGAACTGAGTTAAGTCATACAATAGCTAGTTTGACTTATAAGGGTGGTTTGCCTTAAGCCGCTTAAGTCATAAAAGTTTTAACAGGTGTATGTCAAATGAGGTTACTTTACACTTGTTTCTGTAGCAGTAGGACTTTTCCAGCCAAAATGATCATACTGTCGGAAATCAGGTTACTCGCTTATTATAAGAAAGAACAAATGACGTCCTAGAATAATCAATGAATAAATAAAATAAATACAAACATATACAAAAGGGCGAACAAATAGAATTTTATTTTAAAATTTAAAACTTTAACAATAATAAACATAATTAAAAAGTATATATAGAGTTGCGGCCCCCGAAAAGTGCGCGATTTTTCGTTTTTTAATTTTTAAATTAATGTAAATCTGGCTATTACCAGTGGCGTGGCATTTTTGAATAAACAAAATGTCAAATTTGACAAATTTTGTTATTCGAGCGCCCATGATTTGAAGATACATTTACAATAGAGAAAATTATCGTGCACTTTTGGGGGGCCGCAACTGTACTATGCCTAATCAACCACTTTCGAACCCGACCCCTTTCAAATTTGCTGAAATTTTTATATTTTTTCTTTACCCCACTAAAGACGTTTCTGAGAATGTTTTCAAATTTTTTTTACCCAACCAAAAATAAGTTATGAATTGTTCAAAAAAATGGCTCTTTTTTCAAAAAACCGTAATTTGTTAAAAAATTGTTTATCGGGACGTTTTCTTTTTCAAAATTTTTGTGTTTAAATGTACTTTCCAGAAAAAAATTTGAAAATTTTTGATGTGAGGTTCTATAAGATTTTTAAATTTTTTGAGAAAAAGCGTCAATTTCTCGAAGTTCGACATTTTTGATTTTTGATTTTTTAAATGCTTCTTGAACAATTTATTTCGTTTTTTATTGGCGCTTAAATAATTTACATAATATTCTATATTGATCTGAATTTGAAAATTTACATGAACACACCCATCTCTGTCTGGAATTACACTGTACAATTGCTGAGTTCCAGTAACTGATTTTGTTTTTGAAAATCGCTCACTTAAATCATTTACAGCTTTATTGTAATTCTCTTCTGGTGAAAACCTAAATAAATCAAATATGAAATATTGGAAAATTATAGATTTGAAATCATTTTACTTTATAAATAGAGTTTTTAAAATAAAAAAGGTCAAAATCGAGTTAAAAATTTTTCTCTTTAATTGAAAAAAAAAACGCAAATTCGGTCCATTTCCGTTTATACGGGGCTATGTCTAGAAAAAAATCAAAGTTTTTTTTAGGAAAAAAATAAAAAATCAAAAATGTCGGACTTCGAGAAACAGACGGTTTTTTTCAAAAAATTGAAAAATTTCATAGAACCTATTAGAATGCATTAAAGTTCTTGCCCATACGTCGTGCATATCACATGTTTGATCAGTTACATACTTTGCCCTACATGCATATTTCTCTATTTTTCAGTTTAACTAGTATGCAATCAATTATTTTGGTACAAGATTTTCGATCTAGTAGTGAGATATATGGCATTCAATATTATCAAATAGTAGAAGATGGTGACAGTAGTAGTAATAGTAATAGTAGTAATAATAGTAAGTTACGCTTAATAATATTATTCATCCCTTACACTGTGAGCTTGTCATCATAAATCTCCGACGGATAAGTTTATGGTGAAGCAGAAATTTAGGTTGTAAATCATTATCTGCTGGTTGAATTCTTCAGGACGTATGTTTAAAAATCAATATCTCAATTTATTTATGTAAATCATAGAACGGTATTTGTACCTTTATATTCAGCTTACAAAACTTTGTAAAACCTTGGAGACACATTGTCGACTTTTTCGTCTGAAATGAGATACGGTAAAAATAGCTTCGTTGACAAAAAGACGGCTTCTGTTCTAAGCTAATGGTAAACTTTTTGGTAAAAACTTTCCCTAGTTTTTATAGAGAACGTTGTGGATAGGTTATATTTAAATTTTCATAACAATAAGTTAATGGAGATACCACTTTCTGAAATTGCATTGAAAACCCCATAAGAGCTAAAGGCGAGGGCTCGCCTTAAACAGATGTGAATCGCTACAAGTTGCGCCACAAAATCATTCCCGAAAGTGTTTCATACAAATCTCTCCAACAAAAATACGGCATTCAAATGTCAAAATAACATCGGCCGGGAGCAAAATGACAGTGATTACGCAGTATTGTTCCAAACTGCAAATAAAAAACCCAACACCACAACCGCTCGATAAATTCTGACACGGATGACTCAGCCAAATGTGCGATAAACTTAAAGAAGTGACCCGAGTGACTTACTGCTATGCACACAAATTGGTAATCCCAACAGGTGTGTAACCTTGGCCCGCAACAATTTCAAGGAGGGGAAATACCACAAGGAATTTCCGAAATTTGCTGAAGCCGTAATTCAAAAACGAAAGAATTAGCAAAACAAAAAAACACTACCACAGACAATTAATTAATTTAACAAAAAATCAAAGTCCAGAAGCACTTAAGTTCGGCATGGAAAAGACAATCATAACACACGTAAAGGAATGGGGATGTACGCACCAGTGATACACGTGATACACATCAACATAACAAAAAAGGACGCTCACGTTCAATGTTTTATCTCGTTCTTGCTTTAGCCACCTCGTAGTTGCGTCGACAACTAACGCCGGCGCGAAACTGGAAACAGTAAATTTTCTTCGTTGATGGTGGTAGGAGAATTAGGATTTCCCTAGCGTCAGCGAGGTGTGGTAGTAGGGTTCTCTGACAATAACTAATTTCATCTTTTCTCAACTTTTCATAACTCGTAGAATTTGGAAAAGTATGTCCCAGCTTCTATCTCTATGTCGCCTCTCTGCATGTATGTTGTCTGTCATCTATTGGTCTTTTTATCAGACAAAGAGAAAGAGACTCCGCAACTACTGGACTGATTGTTATGATCTTTGATTCTCAAACGATACGAGACATGAATGTAGACTTTTTATCACAGCTAGATACAGTTTTGTAAATGTCTATAAAGGCAAACATATTTTTGCATTCGTGTCAATTAACAGATATTCTTAAAAAACTTTGAAAGTTTTACTTAAACTACTCTTGCAACACATTTTCATTATTAAAAGAAACAATATCATCAATACACAATAAAATGCTTTATTTAATAAATAATCTACTAACGTCTTATACACAAGGTTACAAGGTACAAACATTATAAAATTTAATAGAAAAATAATTTCTACCGTGGCGTGACTTTGATAATCTTAAAAATTGTAAACCTAGATCAATTTTTCATATATTATGGCGATGAAACGACTAGTTTTAGGTATGGTTTTCTATATTATTCAATAAATATTCTAAAAATTTTAAGGTAAATCAATTGGAACTTTTGAAAAATATGTTCGCAATCTTCCCTGCCATCCATTCGTTGTTGCAATTTAAAAATCCGGGAGGTTGCAGCAAAGTTATCCCACAAAGCGATCCACCATTGTATATCAGATTAGAACAACACAAAATAAGCAGGTCTTAAAGACTGTGTCAAGCTTAGTCAAACCGAGAAAAAGAACTTCATAGTACAAAAAAAAATAACTGTTTTGCGCTGAACAAGTAATATTTGAATTTATTATAGATACTTAGTGCTACATCAGTATTTATGCCTTTGGCTGTGGTATTCTTCGTATTATTTATAGAATTCCTTACACCATTTGAGGTAACATTTTTGAATTTCAAACAGTTTAAAGTGGGATATCTTTTTAGTTAAATTAATCATATTATGACAGGATGATCATCCTTAAAGGATTTAAGGTGGCTTAAAAAAGATCAAGATACTGCTACTAAAGTTAAGTTACGTTGAGATAAAAATATCTGACAGTTTAAATAATTTATGACGACATATATTAGTGCAGACGTGATACTTGATGTTATTTTTTGATGTTGATGAGATTCATAATAATCATTTTCAAATACATTCAGATGAGGAATTATTTAAAGAAGTTAAATGACCAAAGTTCTGGATCTTTCAATCAGATTTACCAAACTTTTCATGTTTTCTGTCCACAAGTTTTAAATAATGCTTTTGACAATGACTTTTAAAATATTTCATATCATCTCAAATACTTTTTGGTCAATGTTTTAAAAATGATGCTAGTATTTTAAAAATTCACTCCATACTGAAATTAATTGAACTGAATTTAATAAAAAAAATCTTGCTGTATTAGTTTCAGCGAAATTACCGATTTCAGTGGCTTCGGTTGAAACAACTTTCAGGTGCAAGGCGTAGGTATCTCTGAAAAATTTCCACGAAAAGAACTAAACAAAAAGTTGGCATTAATGACACAATTTAGTAAGATACATTTTATGTCTATTAACATTTAGAAGACTTATACTGTTTTCATGTACTACGGAGTTACGAATTTAAAATGCATTTTTTAAATATCAACGAAATTTTCGAAAAATCAAAAAGCAGATAAACCACAATCGCCAATCTACATTTTAATTTTGATTAAAAAAAATCTTATAAACAATTAAAACAGAAGCAATTTTATTCGAAATTTAAAGAATCTTTAAATTCAAATATAGACCTACCTGATGCACCTCCATAAAAGATGAGGAGCAAGAACGTCTTGATCTGCTTCACATCGACTACATGTAAAAACGAAAATATGTAATTTGTTATATGTACAAGGAACGTTTGGTTCGAATTTTTCAACAGCTGCGATTATCGATATCATCTACACCTGATATAATGTAGCATTTTAAAATATGTGGTAAGGATCTAAAAACAAATGAACCGTAAAAGATAATAGTGATATAATATGTAGATACAATCTTATGTTATCTGTATGAATAAAATATGATTTTACAATTAATAAACATGGCAACATAGTTTGCGACTAAGCGATCCAAAATTTATTTAATTATATAAATTTTATTTTGTACACGCATTGTCTGTAAAATAACGTGATATTAATTTTGTTGGGTAGAATTTTATTCAACCTGTCCCAATACCCTTGTCGTGGAAGAGTAGGCATTTACTGTGGACCATAAAAAACTTTGTTGTAAGACATCATTGTTTATTAAAAATATACATATATAGTCACACAATATTTTTTTTATGTTCTGAGTATTTTCATTACATAAAAATATAGATTCTTCGCAGTAGATATAAAAAATATGTTTAAGAATATAGGGAAACACATTAATCACACATTAGTTTGCTGCAGGAAGTCGGTTTCAGTTAGTCCGATTGCGACGACTAGCCTGAGACATTGCTTCCTGTAAACCAATATTATTATTATTATTATTGTTCACTACCGTCTCTATTAAGGGGGTATTGAATATTAGTAAGATTTTTGTAAAAAGCATTCAAATATATAGTAATATAATTTCTTTAACTACAAGTTATACTCACAATCATGTACCAAGCTGACAACAATGCCACCTTCATTTCCGTTACTAAATCTCTTGGAAATCGAATTTTATACAGGCGTTGTCTAGCCATCCAACCGATCCATACCCAACTTATTTTTCCAATTTCTACAGATTCATCAGCCGACAAAATACTAAAGTCAATAGTCTTTGGAAAAAATTCAATTGCTGGTCTCTTTACTTTGAAAATAGTTTGGCCATTGGCGTCCCCAACGATGAAAGTGGGGTTTAAAAATCCGGCTTCCACCTGGGCGGTGCCTATGGGTGTACCAAGCGTGTGAATGACTTCAATTTTCTAAAATTTAGCATTAGAACATGAAACTTAAGAAACATACATATTGTGTTTATTGGATACATACTAAGCCAGCGCAACATTTACACTCATGGCATCGTTGGAAGAGGACTACTGGATTTCCAGAACTATCAAAGAGTTGCATGTCGTATGACAGACAGCGGGTGTTCACTGGTGAAATCGAAAAAAGCGTTTGATCCAAGTTGTTTGTTACTTTGTATGTGAAGGCAGGTTCACACTTACAAGAACAACCTGCAAAATACAAAAAAATGTAACATACGTTTCTGTTGAATGGAAAAATATGCTTCCGCACATTTGATGTACCCCAACGCACCATGTTGGGCCTACTTGTATTCACAACCTGAGCTGTAACATTTTTAGCAATACTTATTTATAGAAGAGAAAATGTTATGACAGGAGTATTTAAAAAATGAAATTATAAATACTTATCGAAGCAAGTTTTATGCTCAAAAAGATTACAAATTTTACAGCTCTACTTTAAATGTGGTCGTAGGATCATCTGAGAATAAAAAATGAAAAATAGGTTCCTGTTTTCGTCTGAATGTCTGTTGGACTCTTTTTATAGAAAGAATCTCCAAAACTAATGGATTGATTGGCGTGATCTTACTGTGTTCTTAAATGATGAGAAACATGATTCACCGTTGTCACTTGGACACAACTTTATAAAATTTGGTATTATTGTTATTACATAAAATGCCAAAATACAAACTTCAAACGTGTCACTAAAACTGAAACACTTATATTGATAAAAATAATTAAAAATGTAAAGTTTACTTGTACTATTTATAAATAAAGAAGTATTTTTACAGTCGTCAACTAACAGAGATTGTAAAGTTTCATTTAAATTACTCTTGCAATATATTTTCATTATTATATGGAAACATGTTTCCCGTTGTGTGCCGCCACAGTACTCCCCCTCCAGCGCCGGAGTTGTGGTGTGTGCGTATGTATGCGCACGTGACGTCAGGCTGGAGTGTGAAGGAGGCTGGCGTTGCTGCTGTCGCTGCTCCGACTATTCTTACGATTGTTGTCGAAACCTGAGTGATGCGGACCCCAAGGCGCAGTAATTGCAGAACGTGCTTGTGGCCTATCGGTGGTCATCTATTATGGAAAGGGAATTCACATAGCCTCACTTAGACATTTGCCGGTCGTGAACTACCAATTGAGGTATCGAGGAGTAATTGTCCTTCCTCACTTCCACACGTATATATTGTGCCGCTACAATGGCATTTGTAGCAATTACATTCATATTTTTATTCTTGCCTTGAACTTCCTCCCGTCTTCTCTTAAGTGTATATAATTCAAATAATTATATTAAAAAAAAATCTTAAGAAAAAAATTGCATCGATTTTAAAACAACGTGGGTTTTACATTGTAGTGGTTTTGTTTAAAGTTAATATACATACTTACAATCGACTAGCTGCATTTCTATATTCAGTTCGTCGAGTTCACGAAGGCTTTCGAGTCCTGGTAGGCAGGCAACAGCGAACGTGGAAGTAGCCAGATTTGTAAAAACTAAACGTATGTCAACGAAATAAAAAGGGTTCAGAATAGTATTTGTTTCTATTATATAGTATGAAGCAGAACTAAAACACTTGTTTAACCATAAAACAACAAATTTTCATTTTGGTGAATTCTGTCACCCCTCCTACATATAGCAATTCTGCTTTGTGTAATTTCGAAAATACAGAAAATAGTAAATTACAAGAACAAATACGAAGGAAGATAGAAGGTACAAGATCTCGGAAAAAAATTGATGCAAAACAGAATAAAACCAACTAAAAATTATAGACAACACATTGAACATCTGTAGACTGCAGTTTCGACCTCCTTAGGTCTCATCAGTACAGCATATTTCAATGGTTGCCTATAACTGGAAAATATTTACTTTAAGTTGTAAACATTGAAAATTAACAAAAAATGTACAAAAATCTGAGTAAAAAATATGAATCATATGTTTTTTTCCAGTTACTAATTTACTATTACACTGACAGTAAAGCAGTACATGGAAAAATATCCTTTTTTTTTATTTCATATATGAATGAGAATTTGTTTGAGTTAATTATTAGTGACCTTTTCGAAAGTATGATAAACAGTTTTTCTCAATTTTTCATATTTCTATAAACTAAAGATTGTTAAAAATAAAAGACAGTAGACGTCAACTTGGAAAAAGCTAAAAGAAAATAATACGGAACGAAAACGAAAACAAAACTGCTGATATACCTATATTTTAATTTTGAACAAAAATTCTTCTAACTAATGTAAACTGCTTCAGAACGTAAAGAATTTTTTAAATCAGAAATCAACTTACCTGGTGCACCTCCATAGGGCATTGGCTGACTTAAAATGGGTTGGGTAGCTTGATAAGAAGGAGGAGCATCTCCATACACTCCAGTTCGACTAAATTCTAAAAGTGAAAATATAAATTTTGCATCTTAAGAAAACTATTTTTTACCATTGGTTGACATTTTATTCTTCAATCCAGCTCGTTAAACCAAAAGTGGTCGGATACGATTTTTTTTACAGCCGTAACATTCACATACGTTATTACAGCATTACAAACTATCCGGTAGGGATCTAAAGACAAACGAGTCATGAAAGATAAGGACGACAAAATACATATTTCTGTTAAAATATCGATTTACGATTAATTTACGTAACGAAACGGTTGTTAACTTTATTTTGTGCAGGATATGAGGGATGTTTTGTGTGTATGTATTAAAATAACGTAATACTAATTTTATATTTCTTATTATACCTACTGACAAATTGCAATATCCTGTAAAATTGTTATTTTATCGACATTTTATGACCTCCAGAGTACGAAAAAATAGGTCAGCCGTTTCTGTCTGTCTGCCTTTGTCGATTTTTATTAGACAGATAATCTCAGAAACTAGGTATCTGACCGATTGTTGTGAAATTTTATACGTATTTTAGGAAATGAAAGGCAAAACGCTAACCAAACATTGGCTAATCATCACTACCAATAACGGAATGACCTCAACTCGAAAATTTACAACAGTCAATCTTATTATTATAACCAACGCGCGGAATTGTATCTCATACGCTAGATCCAGTGCTGTCGCGGCGAGAGTTTGATTACAAATATACTTTTCTTTTGGACTATATCAACATAATATAACATTTCAAGATCACCAATCTGTGGTCCTGTGGGTGAAAAATTAAAAAGGGCATCGAGTATTATTATTTGAAGTAATATAGTAATATAGAAGTAGTTTTTTAATAAGCTGTAAACACTTCTAGCGACGCACTGGCTACGACCTTGTGGACCAGATCAAAGCGTTCCCGCTACTCGCCGTAAAACACACCTTACTTCAACTGGGGAATTGCACCGGTGAGATAGAATCCCACGTAGTGATTATAACATAAAATACTCCTGCACTTTGTGTTTATGAATGCGTGTTGAGTGTTTACTCTACTTTGCAAGTTAACTTTGAAACGGCACAATCGCATGAAGTTTTGCCAATCAGAATTTATCCGTTTATCCCCTTAAAAGAGGATGACCTCATCTCAAAATTTTGCCGAATAAATCCCCAGTATTAGACCTACTGTAGCGTTTTAAATTGATGTGTTATTGCATTGCTAAAATGTTCACGACTTCATCACAGACTTCTTTACCTCTAACAATTAATTGAACAGAACGCACATATCTATATTTTGCTTTAATGGGGGTTATCATTAAAAAAAGAACTCGGAAAATTTAATTTTATTATTTTTCGAAGAATCTAAATTTGTTCGCCTGTACTTTGAGGGCGACGGAAGTTCTATCGAAATAAGTTTACATCAATGTTTTTTGTAAAGCCCCTTTTCTTGGTTTGTTAAGAATTTACGTACGTTCTCAAATTACCAGTGATTACGTAATAAGCTTCCAACTGCGGAATAAAAATTCGATCAATTCTGACACCGATGACACCGATGACTCACCCAATTTAAAGAAGTTAAGGAGTGACCCGAGTAACTGCTATAACCGAGTGCTAAGTACTTTTGTGTACATACTCAGATTCTTATTCCAAACAGGTATATAACCTTGGTCTGCAACAACTTCAAGCCGAGGAAATACCACAAGGAATTCCCGAAATGTGCCGAAACAGTATTTCAAAAACGAAGGAATTACCTACCAACACTTTGAAAATACTCACCACAGCCAATTGCTACAAACCAATCAAGCTAACAAAAAACCGAACAAATAAAAATAATTAAGTCACGAAGTGTGCCAAAGCATTTAAGTACGTTGTGGAAAATACAACACACATAATTATAACGCGATGTGTACACCAGAAATGCACACTGCACATATCACACCATAACATTAGCATAGTAGAAAAGCAAGTGCAATAATGTTTTATCTCATTCTTCATTTAGCCACCTCGTGTTTGTGTCGAAAACTAAAACCGGCGCGAAACTGTATAGAAACAGTAAATTTTCGTTGATGATGGAAGGTGCCTGTTTTATTTTGTATATAAATTTAATTTTGTTTTGTATATGTAGTGTCTGTAAAATTACGTGATACTAATTTTGTTAGAATTTTATTCAAGATGTCCCAACAGCGTTGTTGGGCGTTTATCATGACTAAAAAAAACTTTGTTTTAAGTTATCGTTCTTTATTAAAAATATATAGGTACACAATATTTTTTCTGAGAAATTTAATTACAAAATATAGATTCTTCACAGTAGATATAAAAAATACGTTTATTACACATTAATTATTTACACATCAGTTTGCTCCATGAAGTCGGTTTCAGTTCGCCCGATTGCGGCGCTTAGCATGAGACACTGATTCCTGTAATTATTATGATTAATATATATTATTATTGTCATAGAGCAGAGCCAAAACCCCCCACTATGCTCCACATGAGGAAGATAGAACTAGTCTCGATAGTTATGTAATTTATTTTTACTGTCAAACGAAACTGAAAAATATACTCACAATCAGGTACCAAGTGGCCAACAATGTCACCTTCATTTCCGTTACTAAATCTCTTGGAAAAACAATTTTATAATGGCGCTGTCTACTCATCCACCCGGGCCATATCCAAGTCATTTTTCCAATTTCTACAGATTCATCAGCTGAATTAATACTGAAGTCAACAGTCTTTGGAAAAAATTCAATTACTGTTCTCTTCACTTTGAAAATAGTTTCATCATTGGCGTCTCTAACGAAGACACTGGGGTTTAAAAATGCGACTTCCACTTGAACTGTGCCTATGAGGGTACCAAGCGAGTGAATGACTTCAATTTTCTAGAATTTAGTTTTAGAGCATAAAAAAAAGTTGTGTTTATTGAATACACACTACGCCAGCGCAACATTTGCACTCGTAACATCGTTGGAAGAGGACTACTGGATTTCCAAAATTGTCGGAAAGTTGCATGTCGTAGTACGTACAGTGCGAGTTTACTGGTGAAATCGAAAAAATCGTTTGATCCAAGTTGTTTTTTACGTTGTATGTGGGGAAGGGTTCACAAGAACAACCTGCAAATGAAAAAAAAGTAACATATTTACCTACTTTTTTGCAAAAGGAAAAATAAGCCTTGTTATATTTCATGTACTCCAAGGCGCCATATTGGTTCTACTTGTGTTCAACGAGCTGAATTCTGACATTTTTAACAGTTTATTTACAGAAGAGAAAATGTGTGTAAAGCACTGTTTAAAAAATGAAGTTATACTCATAAAACAACTTTTATGCTTATGTTTTCTCAACCTTACTTAACTCCTAAAATATGAAAAAGTAAGTCCTGTTTTCGTTTGCATGTCGATGTCGCCTCTCTGTCTGTTTGTTGTCTGTCGTCTGTTGGCCTTTTTATAACAAAAAGAATCTCGGTAACTACTGGACTCACCTTACTGTGTCTAATTCTCAAACGACAGGTAACATGAATAGGAATCGGCTTTTTTACGCAGTTAGATACAGCTTTGTCAAATTTAGCATAATCGTTACATAAAAAGGTCAACATGCAACCTGCAAATGTACTACTAAAAGTGAAATACTTATATGAGTGCAAAAAAAATGTTTCCGTCGAGTGGGTCTCGAACCCACATTCCCTCGCTTTTCAGGCGGATACTCTACCATTGAACTCTTTCGTCACTTCCACGTATATATATTGTGCCCCACCAAACACTTCGTCCAGCGATGAAGTTGCAATGTGTGCGCGAGTGAAAGAAGCTAGCGTTGCTGTTGGCACCGCTCCGACTATTCTTACGACCGTGATGTGGAGCCCAAGACGTTTGATTAGAAGGCGATACCTGCAATTTTTGCGCGTGCGAGTTGCCTGTGGGTGATCATAATAATTATGGAAACCAAAGCAAATTTTCGAGTAAGCCTCGAATCCACATTCCCTCCCTTAGTCACTTGTCGGTCGGGAACTTCTTATCTTCCCTATTTCCACGCATGGCGCCACAATAATATAATGACATCAGTGACATTTGTAGCAGCTATATTCATATTTATGTTATTGCCTTTAAAATAGCTAGATTGGGTTTACATTATAATGATTTTGATTAAAGTTAATCTAGATACTTACAGTCGACTAGCTGCATTTCTATATTTAGTTCGTCGAGTTCACGAAGGCTTTCGAGTCCTGGTAGACAGGCAACAGCGAACCTGGGAGTAGCCAGATTTGTAAAAGCTAAACGTGGGTCAACAAAAAATAGTTGAAAATGTTTACTTTAAAAAAAATCTTCCAACAAAAAATAACGTCTACATAACTCATACAAGATGCTATTCTTTCAAAGTAAGGTGAGTAAGTGTTGTAACCTTAGATCATATAATAAATAGATACTACCACGCCGTGTTCTTTCCCTAGCAGAGCCTGTGACGACATCCTCCTGTCACACATCTCTCTTGTGTATAGAGGGATTACAATCAAGCTATCCTTGCCTGATCACTATTTGAATTTTGCGCGCCTAAATTTTAGGAAGTATGTCTGAACTAACTTCGTACGAAAGATGTTGACAGTTTGATTTTATAAATAATTCACAGTAGATAACGAAAGGAACAGTAAATTATTGAGCTGCAATTGTGATCCTTTATGATTACATCACTTAAAATAGGATCTTTGTTCTAAATTCTAAAATTGTTTTTCCTACAAGAACTCGAAAGAGAGGTTAGAAGAAACATCTGTCAAAAGCGATTTGTTGCGCTGGTGCGGTACAAGGATGGAAGTGAAATAGACATATACAGATGAAATGCATATAACAAAGATGAAGATGTGGTGATCACACAAGGATAGGATTATACTACTCCCCTTGACGTAGAAAACGACAACAGATAGCTTCATGTCTAGTCACAGCTTTCAGTTTGAGTATTGGTATCTATTTATTATATGATCTAAGGTTGTAACGTAACTCGAAAATTTCACAACACAACGTAAAGCTGAAAATTGAGGAGTTCTACCACCTGGATTAAGAATCCCGTAACCGTGATTTGGACTCCCGATATAGATTTGGTATTGTTCATATTTAAATTTGCCGCCACACATTCGTAATAACAATAACTTATGTATTGGCACCCAGTTACTTTAATTCACATTGCTCTTTCTTTTGTTTTTTTAGTTCCTGATGTTCAAATATTTGCATTGATTCGGAACGTTTCATTGGATTTCATTTCGAAAGCTACGAAGTTTTTTTGTAGCTGAGGACCAAAGGGTATTCACCCTGCCCAAAATGCACGTAGTCACAGTTTTTTTGTCAAAATGAACGAATAAACGATTTTTGTGTCCTCCATATTTTACGTTGAATTCAACCTTACATTTGAACGCATTCCGCCATAAAAAAAAACACAACGTAGGGTTCCACTTTTGTTGATGATCATAGTTCAAGGCCAAATCTCTGAATTTTTCGCGGATTTTAACTGTGATTGTCTAACAAAATGGAACCCTACACATCACATTATTGTTACAAGATTGGAAAAGTACCGCTAAATAAAACATTAGATATATGAAGGACACAAAATTATTTATTCCTCCAGTTACAAAACAAAAAAACGCCGAGTAAGTTGTGTCGGTTGAAGACACCGCTTAATACTCAAATATTTGGATATCACAAATTTAATAAAAACAAAGAAAAACTTTAATATTTAATTTAATAAAAAAAAATAAAATAACTGGATACAAATACACAAGTTATTAAGGACGTGTGGCGGCAAATTTAAATTATGGCAGTTACCAAGAAAACAAAATTTTAATAAAAACAGAGTGTTATAAAAGTTTGGCGATCAAACTATATCAATTTCATTCTAGAGGACCGCAAAATTACCCACAGGGGGCGTTGTAGCACGAGCGGAGTTTGGGAGGTCCTGGTCGTGGCTGTTCTCCTACCCACGAAGGTGATTCTATTCTATCGCAAACACTGCCGCCCAGCACCCCTCTATCACGAAGAAACGTGCCTAGACGAGCAAACTCGTGGTTGTGTCCCGGCTGTGGGGCCAAGCCGACAGCGTCACGTCATCCCGACCGTTCCTCTAAATGGCGCGACCGCCAGCTCGACAAGGAACCACACACTCCGCTTCCGCCACGTGTTATTGTGTTATTTACCTCAATTCCATTTACATGTTCACTTTCTATAACTCTGATATTAAACGACAACTGAACAAGTGTTAAAGTTTAAAAAAAAAAAAACATTTAGATTCGCCATACACTCTCGTGGAATTTTAAACGGCAAAGAATTCTTATCTGCGATTAAGACTGGACATCAGACAATTTATGATGGAAGCATTAATCAACAAAATATTTATAAGAAAAAAACTAGCAAAGATTTATAAAAACAAAAAAGATCTGGTGTGAAGTAAAACTTGCGCAGACAAAAAAAAAATACGTAAGGTTAGAAACTGCAGAATATGCAAAATTACGTTCAATTTAAATTATACAGCAAAGAAAATTATTGAGGCTAAAATTGCGAGGTAGAGAAAAATTGTATGAGGTGAAAAATTGCAAAGGTTACAAAATTACATGAGGTTAATATTTTATGTCCATTCAAGTTACTCATAAATTGATGAACAAAGGATGAGTCTTGACTATGTGAATCTCATGAAATCTCCTAGCAAATGCTGTTATCTGAACAATCTCTGACGGTTAAACTTGTGTTAGAACCGGTTAACGATTAAAATCCTAACATGAACTGTGAATTTACAAACAATAAAACAAATATACATCACGTGTTAGCGTCGGTTGAAAATTCGCATATTTCCGCTTGGAAAACCGCAAGAATTAGCTACGCGTGTTGGAGAAACTGTGGCGTCGTCGTCGTTACGATTAATTTTCGTTAAACAACGGCTCCCCCTTTTTATTAACTACCAAACCAACTAAACTTAACCCAGCTTCCTTACCGCATACTTTCACTCACACGCCACTTATCTTCTATCAAACAAGTCAACTCCTGCCAACCTTCTCACTAGGTACTCCCCAGAAATGAATTTCCTAGGAGAGCTATCATCTACCAGAAAAGAACTAAACGTGCACACGGTTGCCTATGTTTAACGATTTTCTTGATTGATTTTTTTTTTTAATTCAAATTTTTAACTGCGATTTCGGGCCGCTTTTTTTCAGTGCGAAATTTTAATTCAAATTTGGTCACCACAATCTCAATAAAAAAATCGTCCTATTTTTAAGTTTTCGTGGAACTTCACATATGATATTAAAAAATAAAATCATATTTTTCCATTTACTACATTACTTTTAGTGTAAAATCTATTATACTGTCAGTAAATTTTAATAAACGATATTTCTCAATTCTTCAGGTTTCTATATACGAGTGAAAAGTTAGAGGAAAATAATCCAGAACAAAGACGAAAACAAAACTGTTGATATATGTATTATATATTCTAAGATCACTTTAAATGTATAGGTACTAAAAAAATTTTACGACATCATTAGGATTATTTGGTTAACAATGCCGAATCGGCTTTTCGCATTAAGGTCCTTGTAAACTTGTAAGCCATGTCGCGTGCCTACAGAATTTCCTGTGTTGCCTCAAGCAGAATTTTGCGGGTTCCGTTCTTTGACTAAAGTTGTAAAATTTTATTACATACATTTTAATTTTGAACAAAAAATCTTCCAACGAATTAAAAGAAATGTAAATTGCTAAAAAATCTACAGACTATTTTAAATAATAAATCAATGCACCTCCACCGGGCATTGGCTGATTTAAAACCGGTTGTAGGATTTCATAAGGAGGAGGACCTCCAAATGCTCCAGAACGACTAAATTCTAAAAGTGAAAATATAAATTCTGCACCTTAAGAACTGCGTTTTTTACCATTGGTTGACATTTTATTCTTCAATCCAATTCGTTAAAGAAAAAATGTTTGGTCCGAATTTTTTGATAGAGCTATGATTATCAGGATCATCCACATACGTTCTTACAGGATTTCAAACTATAAGGGTGATAAGTATGTAGGTACCAATTTATTTTAGTTATACGAACAAAATCTCGTTTTATGATTAATACACGTAACGATAGAGTTGTTAACTTCGTTTTGTGCATGCATTAAAATCACGTTATACTAATTTTCTGTTTGTTATAGTATTTTTATACAGATATACCAGCACTTATTGTGGACTAACGAAAAATATTCTTGGTGCAGGTTAATAAAAACTCACTTAACTATGTTCAAATACAAAATTCGACTTAAAAATTACACTCGAAAGTTGTAATTTTCTAAATGCAACACCCCAACACCGTATATATTTTTTGAGATTTATAGATTCTTTATAAATAGAATTGTTTTTTTTTTGTATCATCATTTGACAAGATATATTTTTCGAGAAAAAGTTATATACATACATACATATACTCAAGTTTTTCGCATGTATTTTATAACATTTGTTTCAAAACAATTTTGAGAAAATTTTTTCCCGTAACATCGAAATAAATTTTCGTTAAGCGGTAATCAAATTTTAAACTATTAATTGATGGATGACAATGAGATCTGGTTGTGTAAAAAATGTGAACTGCTAGAAACTGTACAATCCGGGAAGTAAATTTTAGACAAACCTCTCCAACAAAAAAGACGGAATTCGGAAAACAATATAACACCACACATCCAGAAAATGGGAGTGATTACGTAATAAGTACGCTTCCAACTGCGGAATAAAACTCGATCAATTCTGTCACCGATGACTTTCCCAACTTAAAGGAGTGACCCGAATGATTGTTACACACTCTTGCATAAGGATTCAGATTCTTATTCCAAACAGGTGTATACCTACCCTTGGCTTGTAACAACTTCAAGTAGAGCAGATACCCCAAGAGATTTCCGAAATGTGCCGAAACCGTAGTTCAAAAAACGAAGGAAATACCAACATAAAGAAAATACTCACCGCAGACAATAACTACAAAACCAGTTTTAAGCTAACAATGCTAAGAAACAAGTGAATCAACCAAAGTAATGAAGTCACCAAGTGCAGAAGCACTCAAGTAGGTTATACAAAAAACAGAACACACGTAATTGAATGCGGATGTCCACACCAGAGTTGCATATCATCAAGGTTGCGCATCATAACATCAACACATTAAAGAAGGAAGGTCAATGTTTTCGTTCTTTATTTAGCCACCTCGTGTCAGCGTCGACAACTAAAAGTGGCGCGAAACTGGAAATGATAAACGAATCTCCAAACCTACTAACTGGGTGTCGTTATCTTACTGTGTCTTTTATTCGCAAACAACAGGAAAAATAAATGTTGCCTTATTTATGTTATATTGTTCCGCCAGAGCACTCCCTTTGAAAACCTGAAAATTTAATTAATTTCTAACCATATATTACTGATCCAGGCCAGATTTTAGTAAGAATAAAACGGTCAGACTTTATTTTTCACAAATTCACGAACTATTAATCAGTGCCGAAACCAAAGAATATTTAGGTATAGGCGAACCTTGTGTTAGGCGCCCCTCCCCTATACATAAAAATGCAATTTTACAGAACAGTTTTATTTATATTTTTTAATAAGTATGCAAAACAGATACTATGATAAAATATAAAAAAAAGAAAAAAATTCGAGATTATACATATAGGTATATAATATGTATAAATCTATAAATATTATATAAGTTCAAAATAAAATCAACATTAAAAAACCTGTCGCACCGGTTACATGTTTCTGAGCTTCCGTTCAAAATAAAAAAAGATTAATATGACATAATTCTTGGTATAGTTTTGGAAATTTCATTCTACCCTATAAAATTTTATTGACGATAACGAGAGGGACAGTAGTACAATGGTAAGAAATATTTATGGCTCACACCAGTTCACTCGAACTTGTCTGAGAATATTTGGCAGGTAGTTGTCCTCATAAAATAATGCTCATTTCCGTTCATAAGTAACGATGGTCCCAGCCCGGACCTGGATTATTCTGGTTTCTAACATCTGGGGATTACCGGCACGCGACAACTTAAGTTGTAAATATCTCTTGCTATTGTACTACTGTGCGTCTCGTTATTGCCAATAAAATTTTATAGGGTACAATGAAATTTTCGAAACTATACAACAACATTTTTGGACGAATTTGGCGCCCCTTGTCGTTGGCGCCCCTAGGCAAGGGCCTACTCGGCCTATAGCTAGTTTCGGCACTGCTATTAATAATAAAATATCTATAAAAACGGTGTTGTTAATTATTCCCACTTCTCTCGAAGAACATGATGTCCTACAAAAAAACTTCTTAAAACCCAATTCCATAAAAACCACAAAACATACAATTAAAAACAAACCACCCATTAGTACAGCCTTCATTTTCACATCTAGATCCAACGGAAACGAAATACTAAAATTGTCAGCATCAGTAAACGCCTCCCTTAACACACCAGACCATTGTTTCGTAATTTTCCCAACATCAGTCTTGCCATCAGCTGACGTAATCCTAAACTCTACATCATTACAACAACAACTGCAGGTAAAAAACGGGCCTTCAATTCGCAAAATCGTATCCCCATTGGCGTCTTTAACAGCAAAAGTTGGATAGAAAATGCTCCATTCTTGCTGGATTGTCCCCAGAATAGTTCCAGGGGGCGCTGACACTTCCATACTCTAGAATTTTCATGAAATCAAAATTTCAGAGTTATTGTAGACGTACTTGTAGGCAGCAGGGAAAGCAACAACCTTGGCAAGCTAAGGGTCGGTAAAAGTGTATCACTTCGGTTTTGTAGTTGTCTAAAATTTTCATGTCGAAGGGGCGGATTTGACCGCAACAGTAGCGGACGAGGCAGTCGGAGTCTTCGGCCGCGTAGTAAACGTCCTGTCCTAGGGTGTTTCTTATTTTGAATTTATTCTTCGTTTCGAAACCGGTTATAGCTGTATTGAGAATAATAGAAGATTTTATTGTTATTTTGGAGAAGAATTAATGTACCTTCGAAGAGTTCGATTTTTTGGTGGACGAGCAACTGGTCGATCATGCTAAGGTACTCTAATCCTGGGGGACAGTTTGGTGGTATGCCTGCGGGCATGGGCATCCAGTTGGCTGCAAACAATATTTTCGTGTATATAAAAGCTGGCAGTTTAACATTTTTGACTTCATAATAATGTTCATTTACAATAAGAATAAGTATTTTCACGTCCAGTTATCGCTCTTACGTAATAGGTAGGTACATGAATTTTACTGTTTACCTTAGAACTCTAGATTTTTGAAAAAAGATATCAAAAGTGTCATTTAAAAACCATGAAACCGAATGCTCTGAAACGTTTTAAGGTAATCGTAAACATGGCAAATCACTAATAGATTTTTTTTAGTTACTAATTCTAAACACTTGATGACGCCATTTCAAAATTTTGTTACATAAATCCTACCTAAAATCTGCAAAATGTTCTGTGTTAAAATGTGTAGTCTGTCTGCACATTTATAGTTTTTACGATTGCTTATAAAGGTATCTCAAAAAATTTAATGAATGAGAAAATATAGCTTACAGATTAAACCAAAAAGGGCCTAACTCAATCCCCCAAAAATTCTAGCAATACCGTGATGTTGTTATATTAGTACTCGTATTACACTGTACATATCCAGATCGACATATTTATCCCTACTGTAAAATTCATGACGTCATCACAAAATTTTTAGTAAAAATTCAGTTGAAACACATCTTACCTGTGATTTAACAGATGGCATCTATTTTAGTTTTAACTTAAAATGATCACTATCAAATTGTGAAAGTTTTGGAGACTCCTGGTATTTTATTTTGGGAGGAATCTTAAAAGTCCCCTACGTTTTGTTTTTGACAGAAGTTGAAAATATTTCCGGGGTTCTTGTGTTTTGATCTTTGGAAAAGTTTTAAAGAATTTTGGACACGTTGTTAGTGTCTTTTTTTCTAAGAATGTGAAAAAATCTTTGAGGCCCCTTATTCTTTGTTTCTAATAAAATTCGTAGAATCAAAATTTTTAATTTATCTAAGAATCTGAATTTGTTTTGTTTCCTGCGTTGCAAAGGCAAGGGAAGTTTTGTTTAAATATCAAGACCAATAACCAATTTTTATCATAACATTTCAAAATTTTCAACAAAACTTAGTTTAATAAAATTTGTAAGACATCTTGCTGCTAAAAATATATAGTGAAGATTTATTAGTATTATTATATATATATCATTATGATAAAAAATTATAGTTAATCCAGTTAAGTACCCACTCCAATGCTGATAAGCCAAAAATCTATTTTTAAAACAAAACCAAATTTACGAAAACGCAAAATTTTCAGATGTAAGCAATTACACACGATTGCAAAATGCACTAGATACGTCACAAACTTCAAAATATTAATCAATATAGTTTGGTCTTAAAACTATAAACCTTTTCTTAAGAAATTGAACTTACCTGGAGGACCTCCTTGGGCCGTTGGTTGGTTTATAACCGGCAGTTCAACTCCATACGAAGGAGGATGATTTTCATGGACTCCGGGTTGACCATGATCTAAAAATAAAAGCATAGTTTCCCGTTTCGAGAAGTATTTTGTTTACCTTTTGGTGTCGCTGCCGGCATTTTGATCTCCAATGGAACTAAGCCAACAAGAAATTATTGAAGCGAGTTTTTCAATATATGTGGTTATCGGAGTGATTCCTTGAGCATGGGGAAAAATGATGCGCGTGTAAACATAAAGTTGTGATAAAAGATAAAGTGATAATATAGGTACCACCTTGTTCTGTGAATCAATAAAGCATTGGATGTGGTTATCTACGTCAAGGAATTCAGAGAAAGTTCACTTTATATACTTTTCCGGTACTTGTCTTTCCTGTGATAAGTGTTTTTGCCGAAAAGTATATATTTTTTTTATGAATGTGCTTAAATCATGTGATGTTTCAGTTAGTAACAAGTCGCCAGAACTACCGGAACTACCCGAAATAAAAATAACTACTCTCTCAACAGACGCACTCAAGACTCAAGAACACAGTCGCAACATTCAATGCTGGAAGTTCTGGTCATACATGCACGCACTTTTGTAAATAAATCGCTTGACTGACAAAACAAATTCTTCTTGTACTCAGGCTTGTATCTGCGGATTTCCCCGCCACATGAACATGAGAATCAAGGTGAATATTCGCATATACACAAAATACTTATAACATATTTTTCATTTAAAATTGTTGCTGTTTTAGTGTTTTGAGTTAGTAATAACAGTGATTTACAAAATGAAACTTTTTATAATCAGCAGACATAAAACTACACGTTCATAACGTGTTTTTTCTGCTGATTTACGACTCAACTTTTAGTTTTTTTTTTTTTGCACGTACTTATATTTAAAAATTATATAAAGAGAAAATCATACAAAATAAGGTATTTACGCGAAAAAAGATCCTTATCATCTTCACAAGGACATAAAATTCAATTTGTCAGTCATTAGCTAACCATAAATATTAATAAACTACATGAAAATGTAATGTAATTTGTTGACATGGTCACATTTTTGTCAAAAATGTACTGATTCGAATATTTCGAGATCATGATTGCATATAGTACCTATACTATAGTCATGTCCATGTCGATTGTCTCGAACTGTTATCGATTTAAAATCAGCCCGACTTGATAATAAAGTGGTGCATGTTAAATTTATCGCTTGTCAAAAATTGCATTTGTTTATTGTTAATTAGGTATGTGAGGATCATTTTTAGATAAAATACCAATAAATTCCTTGAACAGATAAATAAAATCTCTCGTATTAATACTGTGACGTATGTTAGTTATAAGTAGTATACAGTTACAACATATCTATTGTACGTATGATTATTATTTGACATGATTTGATTTTTGGTGATACATTTTAAAATTCGTAGTAATTTATATTTGTTTTAGTATTTCCTCATTTGAAGTGTTTTTTCAAAGCAATACTTTTTTGCGCAAGTTAACAAACACTAAAAATATTTGCTTTCGATAACACATTATTATAACGATGAATGAACTGTGTTTATTTTAAACTTGCATGCAGTTACGATTTATTTAAAATTCTTCTTATAAGGCAAATTTAAAATAAGGTATATAGGAACTGTAAGATTATTATAAGAAAGAGTCATCACCTAGACAAAAAATAAATTTTTGTTTACCAGATATATGAACTAGATGTAACTACAGTATCGCAACTTACAAAGTTTTTTCCGAAATACGTACATTTTACGAAAATTATTATTAATTACGCCTCAGAAATGAATCGCACTATTTGTTTTTTTTTTTTTTAATTCAAAATAAGTAATTACCTTTTAGTTCTACATAAAATTATATGTATATTCCGGCAAGGCACTAAGCCTCAAAGTGACACAATAAATGTTTATAGTAATTTTAAGAAAATGTGTTCTACAAAGTTATTCAAACTAACAAGGCATGCGACCTTCACATTTGAAGTGACGTTTAGTAAACAACATTCTAAAACGAACCAGAGAAATTTTGGTTAGGGATTTGCCATTATAACAATATCGTATAGAAAACAAAATTTTAAATAATAACAGGCTGCGATTAATACATGTATAAGGTTATCCTATTTCTTTCCACTAACATTAGCTCTCTGTATAACACGGCGTACGTGTACCGATCACAACCTTCCTTTATCAAAAATTTTTGTTCATACGGTATAAAACTAGAACACTGGTCGCTTTCATCTCATTAAGGGAATGACCTCACTAATTAAACATGCACTTAATTTTCAATGTTGTTAATATATTAAACAAACCCCCTAGCAAATTCCTAGTTATCATCCTAATTATCTCCACAAAATTTAATTAAGCGAATGAGTAAAAAAAATTATCATTAAATTATAATTAATTTAATGTAGGTACTTTTCATACTGATCAAGCTTTCAAGTTGATTATTCTCACTAGTGGTATATTAATTATCCCGATTATAATTTGTTAAAATGACGCTTAATATTATGCCATCTAAACAAAAATAACTATTTAATTATTAATAAATAATAGCTAGTTATTTTAAAATGAAATGGTAGTAAATGAAAAAATATTGCAGGTCATAATTTCCAACAAAAAGGGAAAGCTCAAATATTCTATGATTCTATATTGTTACGATTGACGGGCGAATAATTAATTGGGCGTAGGTAAAAACTCAACAATTTATTTCTTTTAACTGGTATTTACACGACTAACTACGATTACGTACAAAACAACTTCGCAACTTAAATGCACTCCACTCTTGACTGAATCGGTTCCCGAGGGTGGCCTCTATTTAAACCTATGCGTGCCTCTCGATGGATCCAGAACGCCGTATCGAGAGTCTTCTGGGTCCGCAATCGAGACTTCCGCTTGCATCCGCGCGGCTCATGAGTCAGACTACATACGAGAAGCAGCACGTACATACTAGAAGACGCATAGGCGTCGTACCGGGGCGGCGTATTTCGTAACAATATGTAATAATATATTCATTCGTCCGTAGTATAAACCTTTTGCACGACAAAGATGGTTGCTGATTCAGTAGTAACAGTCATGTGAAAAACATGGTAATATTTGTCCGCACTCAAATTTAGGTTGGCAACAGTGACAAATATTACCATATTTTTTAGCTGGACCACTGAATCGGTGGCCTACTTAGTCGTGCAAAAGGTCTCTTCTCTATTATAATTTATTTATAGCATTTTTCATATTAATTAAATTATTCCTACTATATATATATATTACTTATCTTGGTTATTCTTTGTTAAATTTTTGTTTATTGTTATCCCATCTAAATCGATGTAAATGTTTAGTTAGTTTAGTTATTCATAAATTAATAAATAACTTCATTTTAAAGTGAAGTCTTAATATAATTGATATCTGAAGGTAGATTTCCAGTAGAAAGAAAAAAATGCGTTTAAAGCTAGATAAAGTTCACCTAGCCTTAAAGCACCACAATCACCATTCCCAACTTATTTAGATTTATATTTTTATGTGCTACAGTAGGTGGTGTGATAACCCAGACATCCCGCCTTAATTTGACATGTGAACATACATTTTAAACCCGCGAAAAATTAAAAAATTTGGCCTTGAACTGTGAACTTCAGCAAAATGGAACCTACGTTGTGTTTTTTTATGGCAGAATGCGTTCTAATTCTATGTGGTGAACCCCAAGGTCAGAAAAATGCCCCAAATAAAACACAAAATATGAAAAACAAAAATCGTTTATTCCTCCAACCGGACGAAAAAAAAAAGAAAAAAAAAAAGCTGCGATGAAGTCCATTTTGGAATTTCTAATGTTGGTAATTTAACTTGAATATTGTTAGTAGGTTATAACTTAAGAGTTGGTGATACCGATATTTGTGAATCTGGTTAAAATTTGGAGATAAGATGTTGTGAACGTGTGATTACTCTATAATATAAAGATTCGTATTGTTCACGAAGATCACTAAGAGGTTCTGTCGAAGTGCTCTCTTCATCAGTTTGTTTGGCCAGTAGACGAAGTTTCTAATGATTCGATAATTAATTATTTGCCATTTATCTAACTCATCTAATAACGGCTCAACGCGTGGTAGTTTGTATCTACAGCCGTGGTCTGTATTTAAGGCCAGTCGCTACGTTTTCTGCGTGGAATTTTCGGTCTATTTTCAGAATGTAATATCTCCGTTAATAACAGACCTACGGTTTTGAAATTTTACATGTATGTTGTCCATAACTTTCTCTATATAACCTAAGAGCAATTTTGTTAAAAACAGTTTGTGATCATATTTTTCACAAGGTAGTTAAGAACATTCATTATCATTACTAACTCAAGACTCTTTCAACATTCATCATTCGTCCATCACTCACTCACTTAACATTCATTTCTGGACCAAATGATCATACTGTGATAACCCAAACATCCCGCGTAAATTGACATGTGAAAAAAAGTGAAAAGCCCTTGAAAAATTCAAAAATTCAAAAATTTTGCCTTGGCTGTGATCGTCTGACAAAATGGAACTTACGTTGTGTTTTTTTTTTGTGGCGGAATGCGTTCAGATGCAAGTGGTGGACCCCAAGGTTGGAAAAGTACCGTTAAATAAAACACAAAAAATATGTAAGACACAAAATGTTTTATTCCCCCACTGACAAAAAAAAAAAGAAAAAACAAGCTGCGACTAAGTCGCGCAGTTTGAAGACCTTCTTAGTGCTCAGCTACAAAAAAAAATCCAAACTTTGATTGAAATCAAATTAAGCCTTCTAAATCAATGCAAATATTTGAATATCATAAATTTGATAAAAACAACGCAAAATGTGAAGTAAAGTAACTGGATGCAAATACAAAAGTTATTACGGACGTTTGGCGGCAAATTTAAAATTATGCCAGTCAACAAGAGAACAAAATTTTTGTACACCGGCAACGGCACCAGAACGCTATAAGAGTGTGACGACCGAACTATTCCAATTTCATTCTAGAACACAGCAAAATTACCCATAGGGGGCGTTGTAGCAGGAGCGGATTTGAGGCTGTTCTTCCACCACGACGGTGATTCTATTCTATCGACAAGTACTGCCGCCCAGCACCCCTCTATCACGAATAAACGTGCCTAGACGACCAGGCAGTTACAGTCGCAAACTCGTGGTTGGGTCCCGGCTATCACGAAGCCGACAGCGTTACGCCATCCCGACCGTCCCTGACTTCTATTCAAGACCTGCATCTTTTGTGCAGA